GTATTTCAAACATTGTATTGTTCTATTTCGGGATGTCCTCAGATGCTCAATTGCTGGATTCTTGAATCCAATACTTGATACCCAATGTGCCCAAATCCTGACTGAACTTGAACTAAAGGGAGTAGTGGTTACTGGATTAAATTTCAACCCGCATGGGTTAGACTTTTTAGCTCATTTTCTCATTAATGGAAAAATGCCCTATTTGCATGTGCTCGTCATGTCCGTCCGTCCGTGATGTCCGTCCGTGAATTCGCGGACGCTCTCTGAGAAAATGCGCTCTCTGTCACTCAATGCAGTGAGTACTGAGTTATGTTTTGTTTATTAGGTAGATTTGTTCAACTTTTCGTATTTTCGTCTTCACTATTCTTTTGTTGTTACATTTGTTTCAAATTGCTCATTTATTGAAAAAGCCTTGTTTCTTTTGATAGTTTCGGTTTGACGGACGATTCGTTTTTTTGTGGAATGAGAAAACTGGGCTCACTAATTGATCGAAAAGTCTCCAATTCCAATACATCCTTAAACAATTTGACTAACATTTCTCAGCTAAGCGCTTCTTAACCAGCACTATAAGACATGCAGAGCTGGGCAGCGCTACTTTGAAATGTAGCGGCACTACCGTTACCGCTACATGCTCTAAATGTAGCGGGCGCTACCGCTACCGTTACATCCACTAGATTGTAGCGAGCGCTACCGCTGCCGCTACAGTAAAATGTAGCGCCGCCACATTAGCCGCTACAATGGCCAAAATTATTGGAAATCTCTAAATATATATTGTTCTGCTATTGGGATTTACTCATAAACATTTAATGATAATAAAAGATTTTCAAAACATATCAATGCAACTTTAAACCTAACCGAAACCAAAACATATTAACCTAACCGAACTAGTACGGGTTAGATACGGTAAATAAAAGTTACAATTATTTTTATGTTTTACCTTCCCTACATGGATGTCTACTTTAATCTACCAATCTCAAAAATTATCTACGTATACACATAAAAGATCAGTCTTTTATTTGTATATATATGTCGATTATTTTTGAGATTGATAGATTAAAGTAGAAATCCATGTAGGGAAGGTGAAACATAAAAATAACTGAAAGCAAACTGAAACATGAAAAAATACCTCAAAGTGGTAACTGGTAACAACTTAACAAGTAACAACTAAAATGTTGACACTAGTAACAGGCTGAGGTTGACAACATTACATTGAAATCTTTCGTACAGTTTTATTCTGTAATTTATATTATGTATGTATAATGCTGGTTTTTTAAATAATATTTAATACTATTAAGTAAAATCTAAAGGCTTTATCTATAAATGTATCGGTAGCGCTGTAGCGGCAAAACCACGTATCGCTACTTAAATATGTAGCGGGCGCTACCGCTACCGCTACAATTGCTTAGATGTAGCGCCGCTACCGCTACCGCTACTGAAAATGTAGCGGCCGCTATAGTAGCGGCCGCTACATGTAGCGCGCTACTGCCCACCTCTGAAGACATGTTCTTCGCAATCACCTTAAACTTTACGTGTATATTCAAAGTTTTTGTCCAGATTCGCAGTAATATTGTCTAGTATTACTTCATTCTTCGAGAATCGAGTGAGCAATCCCCGGCGGTTTAAGCGCTGACAGCTTTGATTCCTTTCCAGGAACGTTTCTTGGTTCGTCTGATTCAAGGAAAAAGTCTCTTTTCTCCTACCTAAACCGAGCTTTTAGTTTGCACTATCGCAAATGTTCTTTTTTCTAGGGATTGCATTGCTATTGGGAGAAGTTTTGACTTGATCTCGAGTCCCAGGTGGTAATGTTCAAGGCTGTCTTGTAATATTAATGAGAGAATTGAGTATCAGAGTCCCGAAACGAGTGAAAAACAGGGAGCAGCGCAAGAATCCTAAGGCTAATTTGAAGAAATTCAAAAAGTTTAATGCTTTCCGCGTGTTGCGCTCCGTTTCCAAATGCTTTCTAATGGGGAGCTGGAAGACCAAACTTAGCCAACGGATTCACACCTCTGAAACTTTTGCAGCTGCTAGGGTTCCTGTGATACGGAATATCAGACCATGGGATTTGGCAGTTTGCGCTCCTGACTTAATAGCAGTAAAAATAATGCTAATAGGAACCGGATACAATGAGATTGTTGCAACGATTGTTTGTTCAAAGGTAATTGCACACACATCTCTTCCACCAGGATTGGATATGCTTAGCTAGAATTCTCGTAATGCCTACCTGATATTGATTCGGTCGGAGAAGCCAACGGCTGCTAATTTCTCAAATTACATTTTCACGATGTTGTGGTAAATCAACTTTAGTTAATTTTTTAATTACCACTATTGCTTTGAAGACTTTGGAGTGAAAAATTAACGACATTCAAAAAAATTGGCGTTAAATTTTTTTTAATTCTGATGTTTTGAAACGAAAGACCAATTGACAGCCTAATTATTCGATGCATAATTTTTTCAATAAGTTTTTGCTGATGTTTTATATTTTAGTTCTTTGATCTAATTGTAAAACAAAAGTTCCCAAAATTTTTGTGTGATTCCGGTCGTTTTCGTCGAGACTGGAGCTCGCTATTGCGTGATGGATTTACTGCATTTTTGAAGAGGCTAAAATTATGTCGAGCTGGAAGGGCATCTCAGGAGACAATACCGCCGGCAGAGCTGCTATCCGCGGCCACGTCTGGATGTGGCTTTTAGGTGATTGGCTTCCTGGCGAGTATATTGCAGGTGCTGCGTCTCGTGGCGAGTATATTGCAGGTGCCGCGTCTCGTGGCGAGTATATTGCAGGTGCTGCGTCTCGTGGCGAGTATATTGCAGGTGCTGCGTCTCGTGGCGAGTATATTGCAGGTGCCTCGTCGTGGCGAGTATATTGCAGGTGCCTCGTCGTGGCGAAGATATTACAGGTGCCTCGTCTCGTAGAAAATGCATTAACATAACACAACATAGTGATGTCGGCGCTGAAGAGTAGGCCTTATGTGGCCTGTCGCCGATTCTTTAACTTTTCGTGACTTGTCTACAGAAGATCTAAAAATAAGTCATTCGCCGGATCTTTTCCAAACTGACGATAGTTTGAAATAGCTACTAGACTTCAACCGGGTCCGATATAGTGCTAGGCATTTAAAATCTGAACATATATTTCTCTATCTAGTCTGTTCTTGAGCGCGTTTAAACTTGGAGCGCCAACGATGTAACCGGGGAGGCGGTTCCGCATGCGTCTCGTGGCGATTATTCTGCAGGTGATGCGTCTCGTGGCGAGTAAATTGCTGGTGTTGAACCTTGTGGGAGTGTGTTGCTACCTGCATCGTAGTGACACAAGTTGAAATTAACAGTTAACTGCATACGTTGTGAAAAATCACTGCTACCTACATTTAATTAAACTTGCAGTTACATAGCAGATTACGCTATGCTGGATAAAGACTAGCAAAGAAAAGTTTCCGGTAGAGGCTACAACGCTATACGTTTATTCTATCTACATTTAGTTACTGTTATAATTCTTTCCAAGTCTACTAGAACGACTATAACGATTACAAACAATTCTGAATATCTCCTTTCTTCGATTACCCGTTTATGTACATTGCACACACGTCCATTGAACATAAAAGTTTGATAGTCACAAGATCTCTCAACATTTTACGGAACGGATACAATTTTTGAAATGGTGCAGCTAGTCTTCCTTTAAATTTCTTTGTTGATATTCAGAGCGGGAAACAATGTACCTTTCTTTTGATGATTGTTGAAACTAAAGTTGAGAGTTTTAATGAGAGTTAAGAAGTATAATATTTGAGCACAACGAACGTTAGTTTCTATGCCTTAGGAACAATTAAAGTTGCATTTGATTGCGTATACAAACGAATCGCTCGTGATTATTATAACACTTTTTGCCAAGTGCAATAAAATTTTCCACTGATTTCCAAAGCCTGCAACTTTTGTGGGGACTTGTTACAATTGCATATTTTGGTTAGCTTGCCGTGGACAAATTCCCGCTGGCTGGTTGGGTCTCCATATTTGCAGGCGACTTAAGAGGATAAAATGTTAATTTTCTAGCCAAATTCCGGCAGTCCTCTGGTGCATACGAAATGAGGGAGGTTGCGACTCAAAAATTTGAATAAAAGCCGCTTAGCTTCAGGCAAAAATAAAAAAAATAAGATTTTTTGTTTTTCCTAATTTATTTGCTTTGATTATTTGATAAAGCCGTTTCAATCAATATTTTTGAGACGGTAAAATTATTTATCTACTGTCACACAATATGACCATAACTATTTGTTTGCAAGTAATTTCTGGTGGAGATATTGTTTAATTCGGAGCAGTGGAGAAAGCATACCACATGGAATTCAAAATACTACAAAAATTTAATCATGCGTTAATGAATAAAGTTAGAGAAATTAGTTTACAACAGACTTCAAAATATTGTTTTTCTAAAGTCCTGATCCCATGATTGCAATTTTTTAGGACATTACTATATAGATTTAATATAACTATTATACAGAATGAAAGATTCTTATCCTCGTCGTATTTTTTCCCAACGAAGAATAATTTATGTTGATCATTCCCATTATCTATTTTTCGTTGCAGTAGCTTGGGAAATATCGAGAAATTCTCTTAGATAAGCCTTGATGTTCCTTGGGAAAGTGTAAAATTTAAATTATCGGAGAAATCCATTTATTTTAATTATACCTTATCTCTGATACATTATAAAAATACACTTCTGATGAGGAAACTTTTCATTGAGATTAATTGTTCTTGCCCAGTCGTGAAGCTTAAAATGCAACTCTGAAATTAAACAAACTCATTATTTATATATTTTACTTCAGGTTCAGGAAATTATACCTACCTTACACCAAAAACTGTACATATATTAATTAATGTACGTAATGACTTGTGTGACTGTTGCCTGGAGACCCAATTCCCAATTTAATGCTGAACTATTTATTCATTCTCTATTGTATTTTGCTAGTTGCGTTAGCGGTTTGTTACCGATATTTTAACTTAAACTCACTCCTCTCGCTTAGGACATGCGGCGGCGCAGCGGCAGCGGTTCGTGGAGGTACCGAAGAGTGCCGAGGTGGTGCAGGGTTCCAGCGTGACGCTGAGGTGCAGCGTGCAGGAGCAACAGGGTCGGGCTCAGTGGACCAAAGATGGGTTCGCACTCGGTGAGTCTAATGTTATTTTTTGTCGAAGTTTTCTACTAATTTCTATGAGAGTTGCTGAAAATAATAAAATGTTAATCCGTGAGAATAATTTGAACACGGAAAGCCACGTGTTTGGTCACAAAATAGCATCTCATTATTAAATTTTCGCTATTTGATTTATGAAGCAGCCTCTGAAGATTTACGTGGTCGCTCTGACCACGAAGCTGTAATTACGTTTGCTCATGATTTTCTCGAGAGATAATTAGGATTTGGCAGCGACTGCTTTGCCCAGATGATCGCTGCTCAAAGGGGCAACATTAGAAAAGCCCGCGATCAAAGAAGCGGGGAGAAGCTCCAATATTCCGTTCATTAGGAGTCTTGGCCACGCAAAGAAGGTTGCTGCTTTTGAAATCGAAAAACGAGTTTCAAAGCAAACTTTTATTTTACAAGAGCACGGTAAAGGGAAACAGTTCTGTGCCTCCTACAGGTCATGTTCAGATGCGAATTTGTTGGGTAAATCTGCTGGTTTAATGCGTTTGATAACTAGGGTTGAAAATTTTGAGACCTTTGCCAAAGACTAGAGAATTATTGCCATTTCTATCAGGTGTTGTGATAAACATCTCGGTAAGGTTAACTCTCGTACTGAATGCATGCATTCGTATTTAGAGAAAAATATTCGTATAGAGCTACATATGAATGCAATAAAGAAGTTCATCGTCATTAAAGAAGTACTGTACGATAATGGGTCAATTGTGATTAAAGTTATACCCGTTAATTTACCATTCAAATGTTTCCTCTTTCCTTGCATGCACGGTAATTAATGTTTGAAGAATATTCGCGGAAACGAATTCCTGCCCGTGGAATTTTACGATAAATTATGAAGTTTTGCTTATAGTTAGCAGATTTTTTCATCGCATTTTGTATCACACCCTAGGGCAGTAACGTTGCCACGTCTATTTGCTCTTCAATAATAGAAAAGGATGCGAGCAATTCTAGAGACCTGCGAAACCCATCCTCCGCAAAAATTCCTTCCGGGAGGCGCGGGAGGAAAAAGAGAGCTAGGAAGTTTTCAGGGGCGATTTCAATACGTCTTCGTTGACTGGCGCAGAGTAATAATGGACGGAGGAAGCCCGTGTGCTTTATTGACTTGTCTTGACCAGAGCCAATATATGGCGAGCAAAGAGACGCGTGTTGGAGACACTGCGCAACGGACCTTCTGTCCGGCATAGACTTTTCTGGATTATTTATCTTTATTCTTCGTGAAATTTCAGGCACGTAATAAAAAGGTTCAGCTCACTGAGAAATGTTGAAGTTACTCTGAGTTGTTGCCGTAAATAATTGTGAGTGAGGTTGTAACACGTAAGACGTTTCATAAATTCCAGCTGCGAAACGTCTTGTTCGGTGACCTGTGAAAAAATTTTCTCAGCCCCTTGAATTGTTCAAACAAATAATTTTAGGAAAGTTCATGTCTGAGGAGCTAGAGAGCAAAATTTATCTCCAGCATTTCAGTTCACATGCAGTTCGGAGTGCGGGTTTCCGATCGATCAAGTACCTAAGTGTTCTTTACTTGAGGTTTTACCCAATGTTATTTGGTGCATGAAGTGAAGTCTAAAAATTGTATAATTGATCAAATGAGCACCAGCTAGCTGCAACTCAAAGGGAAAGCGAGGCTTCGGGAACTGCAAAATTGAACAAAAAACGTAGGAAACAGAGCTCGAGCGTTGGACAGATTATGCCAAGCATGAAACTACTTTACTCTGCAAGCTTTCATTTAAAAACCAATAAAAAACCAGCATAGCTTCAACTATGTCCTACATTAGTGAACGTACACTTCGCTGTATTTTTGCTGTGGGTATTCGACCCTTCACTATCAGATACACTGAATGCAATACCAGCTATATGGAGTACAATGACAATCAGAGCTCGAACTTAAAGGGCTGTTGCTTGAAGTATTTCTATGGCTCATATGATCTCTAGATTTCATCGAGATAATTGAAGTGGTAAAGTCCGTGAAGAGCCATGCATGGAGGGGAGAATCCCTGTGTTCTTTCATCAAGAATACATTATTTCCATGTGCGTCTGTGATATAGACAACAGAGACTATTCTTGGGTAGTATATATTGACGTGATTCATTTGTAGAGGTTGATTTAGCATGACTGCACTCGTTTAGGCGGTCATATCACCATTGTTGTTTATGCCTCCCAACTCTCCAGCTGGCTATTGTTTGCGAAGATAGCTGGCAGGCCCGGAATAATGTATAAGGGGCAGTTATTTCATCGCCTAGATTAAGTGGACCGATACCAGAGTTTGCTTGCGCTCTCTCGTACCCTCGAATGCATGAGAATAGCTTCAGGAATTCAGGCTTGCTTGCAAGAGGTCGAACACGAGCTGAATTGAATCAGCGGTGGTTAATAGATATCCTTGGCGTTAATGTCAAAACAGACTGCAACGCGCAGGTCTTGCAAGAAAGCTAATTTGGTTTGGGTAATTGCAACTTCGAGGTTGGGTAATGAATTGCTGTTTCCTGTTTCCTTTGTAAACGGGTTGGAATGTATTACTATGAAAATTAAGAAACACTTCGAGGTTTCATTTAATTCCACTGGTGCAAAGACAGAATATCATGATGATTATTGAAAATAATATATTTTTCCTTTACCAATTGCTAAAAATTTTACAGCTATTTTTTTAACTTTAAATTCTTCGAAATTCGGCGTCAACGTCGGCCGCGTTCTGATATAGCTGCACCGTAAAACTTGAGCAATGGCGATGAAGATAACGTTGGCCAATCAATAGAGCTTTGGGGCGAGCTCTGGGCTTAATTGCGTCACTGGGAGAAAACCTGAAATTTTTTGCTCCACAGCCGAGGAGGCGAGCAAGCGTCAAGCAATTAATGTACAGACAGAAGCGGAGGTCGCGGGTTATTGCTTCGTCCGAGGTATTGCAAGCGCTGCGCTATTGCTCGACACTTCGGCTGGGGCCGCCAGCTCACAGCTCTGTTACTGGACATTTATATTTCAATAGAACTCCATCAATATTTTTTGTTACGAATTATATTGTTAATTTTGTGTGCGTTTAGAAGTTACATGACATTTTTCATACTATTAATAGGAATCAAATTATATACATGAAACCATGGTCAAGAAATATGAGAGCTATCGTAATGTTTTAGATAATTTTAGCATTGAAAATCCAAGTTCCTAATGATCGTTATTCAGCCATAGTTTTACCTTCACTTTACCAAAAAATTAACGATTTTGACATTCCACTATTTCCTTAACAACGGAAAAAATCCACTAAACTCGCTCGGTAATCAATCTAATCTCATTCATCACTCTTGACGCCATCTCCGCCTATAAAAAAACGTACTGTAGAAGCAACAATCTGCGTCAGGTTTCGAGCGCGACGTGCCTGGGTATCCACGCTACCGCTACGAAGGCGACGCCGAGAGAGGCCAGCACTACCTTGTGATCACGGGGGCCACTCTGCAGGATGACGGAGAATACCAGTGTCAGGTGGGGCCCGCCAGCATGGCGGCGCCCATCTGGGCCTCAGCATCCCTCACCGTGTTGGGTGAGTGCACATTAATCTGGTCAGAAGGTCTGTGCATGAATCATTGGGAGAACAGCTTGTATACGTAGATTTTTCTTCGTGGGCTTGGTGAGTAGAGGTGAAGCCTTTCAACGTCTCGGTGGCCGTTTCCATTAATTGTGATAACTGAATTAAGGCGTTTCTTAGAAAAACCTGCAAAGAAATCCGATTGAGCAGTTCAACAGACAAGCCGTTTGTTGAATTAATATATGATAAAACCGTAGTATATCAGCTTGAATAAAATTTGTTGAATGCTTAGATTAAATAATTTTTTTCATTGTTTTATTTTCTATGACAAGTAGAATGAGCAACCGCAGTATTTATAAGACTCATCCAGTAGTTCCCTGTGCATTTTAATTTATCAGAGCAATAGTTAACCCAGTTGATGTTTTCGCAGATCCCATTGTTTTTGTACACGCATTTAAAAAAATTAAGCATTTTATATATCATAATATCTCTGAATGTTGTTTTGTTACCAGTGCCTCCAACATCTGTGAGAATCACGACCTCACAAGGCCAGATGTTAGGTCACGGGCTGCATGGTGCTCACATCCCACGCGAAGATGGTGTTTATAACGACCACAAAATAGTGAACATCACAGCAGGGTCGCCACTCACACTCATCTGCCTCGTGGCTGATGCTCGACCGCCCCCGTCCGTCAGCTGGTACAGAGACGGTGATCTGCTCGATGCTTGTGAGTTGTGTTGTGTTTACAGCTTCCTTAAATATGAGATATAATCAATATCTTCTTCAGATTTCGTTAGACACTAGGTAACGTATTGAATAACTCTAATTAAGATTAAAAGATTTAAAATATGTTCATTATGTGGCATGAGTCTAGGCTCAATGAATATATGCTTAGTCATGCATTGAATTGATAGATTTTAATCAAATTTATTATAATTATGCGCGCAATTATTTTTTATGTATTTGATTTTTCAGATAATATTTTCAGCGTTTCCCGTAAGCACTTCGACATCAGCGAAATTTAATAAGTTATATGAACATGATCGTTTGTCCGATTGTAATGTTATTCATACTGCTGCATGCTTCGACTGCATGCAGAGACGCGAGAAATGAGATACAATTGTTGTGAGAGACCAAGTACTGAAATTTGAATAAATTTACCTTTTGATTCAACGCTGGAAACCGTAACACTCAAGTTCCTGGAAAAAATTGCTGGCATGAATTCGCGTTCCCTGACGCATTTATGACAGATATAAAAAGATAAGCCAACCACTTACGTAACCCATGACCTCCTCAGCCCCCGGTCATGGCAGATTGCGTCCTGAGGAAGACAAGAAACGACGCTAACTTTTTCCAGTGTCTCGCTCTCCTGGGTTTTTCTTTTAGACTTGCTCTCAATAAATTGAATTAAAGAGATAATTCAGTCAGTATCTCTGGGCATTTCGGTGGCATTTCGTGGATCCGCTCTCTCTGGCTCACTATGAAACGCGAAGTAAAAAGGGAGCTGCTACAGAAGTCTGTTTGTGTTAAAGTTAGTAAGCAACTAATTTAATCTAAGCTACACAATTAATAACATGTGCTCTCCCGAGACATCCTCTTTACGTTTATTTGAACGAAACAATGAGTTTTATTTTTATTGTTATTTAAGTAGTACCGAATGGTTAGAAAGAATACAATAAAGTTCTGGTCGAAAGTCCAAAAAGGAGCCAGAAATGTATTTTGAACTGCGCCATTTCATTTTTAACATCTCGTTGGAAGTATTTTTTGGGTATTTTGGTATAACTAATTACTTATAAATATGTTAAATATTTGTTCATGATTGTTATTGGTTTTTAAAATTAACTTCTTTAACTTCATTTTGAAGCTAAGCTACTAGATAAAAATAACGAGTAAGCACGGAAACGTGAGATTTTTAAGGTAGAAATTCAATTTTAAAGCCGAAGCGTCTATACCTTCGTTGCCGTTCCTCAGAAATTTGTTGTCATTACTGATGTCGTCCGTCGTTAGGTCGTGTCGCAATTAGTGTGGCAGTTGCAACACGCGTAGGAGGATTAGTATTGCAATTCCTGACAGAGAAATTTACCACCATCAATGTTGCTGTTCCGCACAATGTTGCGTTAGTATTCTCGGTGCTGATCCGGCACAGCCATCAACACTTTAGAAGATATTAGTGCTTAAAAAACAATGAGAACTTTAAAAAATCATTTACGTTGAGACATAGAGATGTGTCTTGTATCACTGCATCTGTTGTACAAAGAAAGACCTCCATTGCCTGTATAACTAATGCATTAAGATTTTATTCTAGTATCTTTGTAGCTGCCCACAGATAGAATAGAATAGAATAGAAATGTCGGCATTGAAGAAATAGGCCCATGGTCTGTTGTTTTTTATCACAACAAAAGCCCCATAGAACTGTGGGGCATTTGTTATGATGAAAGGATTAAATATCTTTGGGCAGTTACAAAGATGCGCATCTATTATTAATGTAGATGACCCACAGGGATGTGCCTCTTTCATCGTTACATCTGTCGCACGGAGATATGCCAGAATAATTAACGCCTTCTAGCATAATTTTCTTACTGGTATTACAGTTCGAACACGGAGATTTTGAATTCAAACACACATATTTTAATACAGAGATGTCCAACCGCATTCTCGTCCTCATACCAAAAAAATCCTCCAGCATTTTTGTCCGAGCACCTTGACCACCATCATTCTAACCCAAGCGATGTCCCCACCAGCGCTGCAGAAAGACACGGTGTTGAGCGACGGTCGTCACTTGCTCTCGTCTCTGCGGTCGGAGCTGCGGGTGGTGCCCGTGGGGCCGGACGACGGAGTGCAGTATTGGTGCCGGGCACGACACCCTGCGCTGGGAGACGCTACCGACGAGACCGTCGTGGACTCCATCACCCTCGCCGTCCTACGTGAGTGATGTAGTCACCCAGGGGTTTGTGGTGTTGCCCCCAGCCATGTGTCGGGTAGAGAAACGTAATTTGTTGAACGTGAATTCAATATGAACGCGGCCAGCAAGAAATTCGACATTTTTCGACTTATCGAAAAAAACAGTAAGAAAATTGTTCGTAAAAGGTATGCTCTGGTCTTCAAAAAACCTGCATCAATATGAATCATGCATATTTTTATTTATCAACCTATTATTAATAAAATGAAAGCGAAAGATTTTTTCGCATTTAATTGTGACGATGACATGAACATTTGCAAGGCTTCAAATATTTTGATGAGTGCAATTATGTTGATCGTAGTATTACCGATTTTCATTGGAGTAGGGATATGTAATTCCACTATTTCTTCATGTTACACTATTACAAAAATTACCTATAACGGTATTACCGGCGTTTCAGTTGCCGGGCGGCACGTGAAAAGAAACACCGCGTCGCCATTTTTATTCTAATTTCACACTAGAAATCCGTAAAACATCTGATAAAAACGGCGAAACAGTTCATTTTCAAGGGGCGACCGGCCACTAGAACGCCGATGGGACCGTTTTTTCACCGTTTTTTCTAACAGTGTAATTTTGTATGTGGTAAGCTCTTAAGTCATAATATGAATACTCATATTCCAAGTCACTGCATTTACTTGTATAATACCAACTCAAACTTTTTGTATTAAAATATATGAAATTAATTATAAAAACGCTGAACATGAGCCCCACTTTACAAATTCAAATATTTTCAACGATTTTAAGTATTTCAAATGCTACACCTGGGCTTCACAGCAATCCTCGTTATATTGCATGCTGCATACAACCAATTGGCATCAGTTGACAGCTTCAGGGTATTTACTCCGAACTAGTTGATCATATTTACTCCGAACCAGTTGATCATATTTACTCCGAACTAGTTGATCATATCCTCCATTGAGCAATGCAGGGCTGGCTGTGTTTGCCTCTTACATCGCTACGCTACAGACAAATATTAGATCCAAACACAGCAATATCGGCTCATCCGCCGGCATTTAAGCAGTAAACAGGAAAATGCAATTACTTCCTATTAGGCACATGAACTGAATTGGCTCGGTGCTGATCTTTGCATTCTTGTGCGGTGTAATTTTCCGTGTAATTTTTTTTCTTCGCAGCTTTTTTAACTTCTTGAGTGGCGGAATTGATCACTTTCTAATGTGAAAATTTGATTTTTATACATTCTTTTGAGATTCATTTTTGTGTCTCAATCGCTTATCGACTATGAGGATGCAATCTTTTGCATAATGCATCACATCGGAGCTATGATCTTTTATTGAAGTTTCTACGTTCGGCGGTAAACTTCGTTGAAGCGTAAATGTTTCCAATGTTTTTTCTGTGGCTCGAAATTCTTCAAATCGACTTTTAGAATCGCGGACCAGCAAGTTAGTCGAATGTTTTTGTTTGGCGGTCATATTTTGAGAAGATTGGCCGTTCTCTAAGTCCTGTCGATTTGCAACTCTCGAAACCTCTAAGTTCTTGATCCCAGTTGATCGAGGCGCGAAGTTAGGAGGGGAAAACCTGGCACGAATAACATCAGGTCCAAACAAGTGAGCAGTATAGCTCTGCTCCCTAACTGCTGCCCGCAGTGTAGCTCTGCTCCCTAACCTCTGCCCGCAGTATAGCTCTGCTCCCTAACTGCTGCCCGCAGTGTAGCTCTGCTCCCTAACTGCTGCTCGCAGTGTAGCTCTGCTCCCTAACTGCTGCTCGCAGTGTAGCTCTGCTCCCTAACTGCTGCTCGCAGTGTAGCTCTGCTCCCTAACTGCTGCCCGCAGTGTAGCATCGCAGTGTAGCTCTGCTCCCTAACTGCTGCTCGCAGTGTAGCTCTGCTCCTTAACTGCTGCTCGTAGTGTAGCTCTGCTCCCTAACTGCTGCTCACAGTGTAGCTCTGCTTTTTAACTGCTGCTCGCAGTGTAGCTCTGCTCCACAACTGCTGCTCGCAGTGTAACTTTGCTCCCTAACTGCTGCTCGCAGTGTAGCTCTGCTCCTTAACTGCTGCTCGCAGTGTAGCTCTGCTTCTTAACTGCTGCTCGTAGTGTAGCTCTGCTCCACAACTGCTTCTCGCAGTGTAGTTCTGCTCCCTAACTGCTGCTCGTGGTGTAGCTCTGCTCCTTCACTCCTGGTTGCATTGTAGCTCTGCCGCTTGCTCCTCGTGCTGTCGTGTATAGCACGAAAATATACTCCTTTAGTTTGAGCAATAATTGAAAATTGACAATTTCTGCGGCTTCAGCCTTGTTTATGGGGAGATTAATTGAAAAAAAATTTTCACCATGATATGTTTGACAACTATAATGTGTGGGCCAATGGCTGGCGAGCCTTGGAAACTTGTCTGCATAAAGAATCTGCCGTACAAAATAGTCTGATTCAACAAATATACAAAATTGAACTGCCAAACGTCTTCGTACTTTTTATTCAGTAGCATTAAAACTTTGATTGCTACTGCATTTTCATTGTTGTAATAGGAAACCATTCTAAAAGGACTATCTAGCTCTGCAGATCATATAAATAAAAACCTACTCATTAATATGTAATTGCAGACTTTTTTAGACATCAGGTTTAATACGACAAATTAAGCCAATATTTGCTAAACGAAAAAACTTACCACAAAGGAATTATTTTCCTCGGCCAGATCCTCCGAATGCGCCGGTGATACGAGGCCCGAGGTCGGGGGTGTCAGGCCAGACCCTGATCCTGGGCTGCCGGTCTGCGGGCGGCAACCCTAAGGCTGAGGTGTCGTGGCACCTCGGCGACGAGAAGCTCACAGCCTCGGTCCCTGAGGAGACGTCGGTGCATGTGATGCTGCTGCCGCGGCTGCACAAGGCTGTTCTCACCTGCAGGGCTGAGTCTCCGCTGCTGCAACAACCTCTTACAGCCACCACCTCCCTCACCGTGCATTGTGAGTATATTTAATAGTATGCATTCAATATTGCTGTAGTATTCTCAAATCTTCAAACTTTTCTTATTTATACTTTGACTTGCATTCAATATTGCTGTAGTATTCTCAAATCTTCAAACTTTTCTTGTTTATACTTTGATTTTAAAATCTGCAATACTTCAATAAAGAGTATTTATAATCAGCAATAATGGTAAGGTACTCAGAATCTTATAATTATATAAGTTTATTGTTAGCTGGCACGGTAAGTGCTTTAATCTTATTTTGCTGACGCTAACGTTTGCTAATTATTTAACATTCTTTAACATTTTTATCAACAACGTAGATATTGTGTGAAAGCGTTGCTAAGCATATACATTTATCTCCTATAATTTTTCAGGATGAAAGCAAAGTGTTCTGTTAGAAGTAAAAATGACCATGAAAAGTACTCTCAAACGTTGTTCACGAGACGTAAACGCTTATTGGCAAAATAAATCATGATCGTGAGAAATGCACGCTGGTCGCGAGAAGTGTGTATTTTTCACCAGAAGTAGGCGCTAATCGTGCGTGTTTCTGGAGGGAGTCGAGACGAAGGCGCGTCCAGGGCATCGGCGGCGAGCGTTAAATGATGGACGATGTGCGACGATGGATGACTCGGCGCTGCATGGCTGTTGCGGCAGCGAAGCGTCTTAAAAATACACGGGACTTAGGAAAAAAGCCTCATAAACGATTGACGCTCGGGAGAACGCCAGGCTCTAAGTTGCTTAATAAAAAAGTTTTACGCGCTAAACAAGAGTTACAATATTATTAAGAAATAGTGATGATTTAGGCATTTGCAGAAAATTCATGATATATGTAATGAAGTAATATTTAACGCAGTGCAGGATTTTTGCGTTTATTTTTAGGGCAAGTCTTGTATTGAATTGCTGATCCCGATGACAACTCATGCAGAATCTTGAGCGATTCTTACGTTATGAGTTTTGAAATGGAAAATTGGTTATTTTGTTCTGAAACTTACTCCCTCCAGCGGAATTATTATGTACTAATTAAAATATTGACTGCTTTCCGAAAGTCAATTAGTTGTGTTGCAGCACATATTGCGTGGATGGAAGCACCGAAGGTTTTAGACTCATGAACTCTTAATAATACTTTTTTAAACAAAAATTGCAGAAGCTGCAGAGGTAACGCCGTTGCAGGAGTTCGGCTAAAATTTCGCACATACATTGATTATATCGATAAATTTGCGAGAGTTCATGACGACAGTTCCCGGATATTTATTGGACTTTTCGAATATCACGTTCCGAGGCTCCCTTCAATTTTCTGCAACGTCAACAGTTTTATTGCGACGTTGTATTAATTAGTGTGCGTAGGCCTCGAACAACTTCAAAGCTTCCACCGTCAGAGTTCAGTCACATTTCCCTTTAAATATTGACGTTCATATTAATAAATAAATTCTTCTCATTTCGTTGGAGCGCTATATTAGCTGCACCCGTCAATTACCCTTTCAACTTTTGTGAAAAACGCCAATAATTTTTGAGCAAATTGAGTTCCGGAACTCGAGACTCGGTGGAGCGAGTGGAAGTAAAGGTCGCAAAAGTCGAGGTAAAAAGTGGTAAAATCATCGAAGGGAGGTTATGGGATATTATGAAGCAAATTACCACAGGATTTTGACCGTGATGTGTTTTTTACTACGAGTAGATTGATACATGGCCAATATTCGATGAATTTTGAACGCGCATTCGGGATGCACGGATTGTAATTGTTAGTTCCTATTTTTGTTTTGCCGTCTGATATTGAACCACAGCGAATAAATTTCTCAGTATATGCGGGGTAAATGGGAGGAATTTTTGATCTTTTATCCAAAATCACTTATCCAGTCGAGGTCAAATATTAAGGCTGATTCATTTAGCATTTTCTGATACTGACGTTATTTAAAGTTGAGCTAGACATTTATGAATAATTATATTAACAATACTAATATCCGGATTAATTATCACGCAAAATATTTCAATCACCAAACAAAAAACGTTAATGTCAATACCTGATATTTGTTTATGCAGTTTCCCCGGAGCAAGTATCGTTGAAGGGACCTGATAGCGTGAAGGTGAGCGAGAGCTTCAACGTCGAGTGTCTCACCAGCCCTGCCAACCCTCCAGCCAACCTCTCCTGGGCTGTCGACGGTAAGCAACTCAAAGAAAGGTTAGGTTAGGTTAGGTTAGGTTAGGTTAGGTTAGGACTGTTGCATGAACAATAAAATTTGTTTGCACACTGGCTTCACTGTCTCCGATGAATTTATGTCGAAATAAGATTTGTTAAATTTACAGTTCAAATTTAGGCTTAATAATGTAAAACTAGTAATGAGATTAGCATAAATGTGAATTTACACATAGTTATTTTATTATTTTAAAATCATTTGGAGCCAAGTTCAGAATTTATTCTAGGTGGTCTGTCTTTCAACACATAATTGCTACGAACATTTGGGCAATTTTTCAACATTTTCCTGGAGGTAAGATGATTAATATAGAGGCTAATAAGGTTTGATGGAAGACTCATTAATATGAATCTTCCGATCATCAATTTAACTTTTTTTGTCTTGTTTCCAGCAAACAAACTCATAAAATTCTTCAGATTACTAGTTCCTGAAAAGTAGAGCAATAGTTCGATATATTCTAAGCGAAAAAATCGACGTATTGTATACCAATAACATCGCAAATCCTAGCAAGATGAATGCATTTCGGTATACCAAGAAAAAAGATGCAGAAGGTCAGGCACCGGAAGGTATCGTGCTGGAGAAAGAGCTTCGTCGAGTACAGATCAGGCCTCGTATTGAACGCTTGCCTATAAATCTCGAGGCGAGAATCTGGTTTTCTTTTTCGAGACCTTAATGCCATTGTAGTTCCCATTGAAGTAGGTTAGAAGAGAACTTTGTTAGCATTGCCCTGGCAGTTGCAGTCGAGCTTTACGAAATTCTTGGATCTTCGGCCAACGTAATAGATGTTCGGAAGAAAGACAGAGCCTGATGGTTTCCCCAGGCAAAGTTCTTCAATGCGAAATGATCCGAAAGAAAAAGTCTTGGATTGGCAACTGCAAATGGGGATTCCTTCTTGTGCCTTGATGGGCCTCTTCAAAACAGAGCTTGATTTTTGGTGCGAGTGGTGAACAAATGTGATGGCTTTGCAGACGAAGGCAACCTTCGAGGTCAACGAAATCAATATCTTGGCTGTTGCACCTGACCTCAAAATTGAAGTGATCTGTAAGGACATGGCAAGGCTTTGCATTTTACCCAGAAATATAAATCGCATATTTCTCAGCGTTTTCTGTGTAGGATATGTTTGAATAAAAACAATGACAGGTACGTACGTTGGGAATCCAAACAGCCAAAAAAAAGCGTGCTATAGCTGTTCCGTGATAATCCGCATTGTACAAACTACATACTTCGTCAAAAAACAAGGCGCAAGGTAGTATATGGGAATTCGTTATGTTGTCTCGTGATAAATATAAAAATGCAATTTGTTTTGACAATCAGTAGTGACAAAATTTATGACAATCGCATTGTTCAATAATGTCTTTGTCCAGCACACGATCGTTGCAGGCCTAGCGTATCTCTGCTCATTACGACCTTAAATGCGAAGACAGTCTCGATGCTGATCGTCTAATGGCGTATCTGCAACAAATGAGCCAAGTTCTTACTAAAAATGGCTTGAATTGCCTTGCATTTAATCGTCTCTGCTACGTCGTAAGTTCTGAATTTTTAGCCCACTGTAGGACTTTTTGACCATTTTATTATCCCGGAATGAAAGTTGGAGATTCTTCCCTAGCGAGAAAGAAGAAAGGGGGCAACTTTCTCGAGAGTTGTAGCCAAGACTTTTCCATGGCCGTGACCGATCTTCGACAAGAAGTTTGCTTCCCCGACAATGGGAACCATGAGTACTCATAAAGCGATCTTCGCTCTCCTTGATTCGACAGATTTTAGGCCCTGGAGACTCGCACGGCCATCTACAAGTCACACGAGCTCCCTCTCTACTTTAAGAAATGCCAGAGATTACTCTCTTCTTATTGGATTCACTAGTAGATTATTCCTTAGAATTATAGAAAAAAGAGATGAAACTGTGAGCGTTCTTTCTGAGCTAAATAAGTTTGAAATCTATCACAGTGAGAAGTACCAAAAGTTATTTGTTATTTGCTAAAAACATGAATTTTTCAAAACCAAGATCCTGCAAGGATCGCGGCATAGCCGAGGCTTCAAATTATTATGAATGTAATGCATTTTGAATGGAAATGAACCACGTTTCGGCGCCGAGTCGGCTTTTCAGTTGAAATGAATGCAACTCCGATGTCTTGCGTCTAAAGAGATGCCTTCAATTCCAGCAAAATGAAAGTTTTTTTCCTTAATCGGGATTGCAATAAAAAGGCAAAAACGTCAATTGACGAATGAAAATTAATAAAATAAAATGGACTTTTTATGTAAATCGAGGTCTAAAATGCAGTAGAATATTATTGTGTAGATAATTTGCGATGCGTTGTCGTCCGCTCGACGCGCTGTGAAACAGAAGTGTTTCGAATAACTGCGGTTAAGCGGCCAGATGGCGCATAGAAACGGGAACAATTTTAGGCAAGTCATGTTTCGTGAATCACAAAGAGCTTGAACTATTTTTTCATAATGATGAATTGCAGAAAGAGTGATGACAGGCACTGAAATTTGTATTATATTGCCACGACCTATGTACGAATACGCTATGTACAAATAACAACTCATTCCCGCGCAGGAAAACGGAACGACTATAATAAACGCAAATCAATTAGAATTCATTGATAATGACGATGATTTTAATGATTTAAACTTGTTCATCGAAATAAAAGTTCGATTCAACTCTAAAAATAGTCTTACGCTGTCATAAAAAAAATATCAGTCATAGTTTTATCAGTCGATAAAACTATGAAAAACTCAATACAACGTTGAAAGACTCCATACAACGTTGAAAGAATCGCTTTATCGTACGCAGATCGTATAATAAAAAGATGGAGGACCATTTTAATCGCAGGAACTCCGAAATGTTTCGTTCTGATCGCCATCATGAGATCTTGCTTGAATCTGAATCCTTGAAGCCCACCAGTTAAAGCCATATTCTTCTCTCCTATTGATTTAAAGAACTTGGGAAGGCTGCCCCTAGAAGTTGCAAGTGTTGAAAATGAATTGCAGCGGATTGAATAAAGTGATAAATTAACTTGATGACTTGTTGTTTTCCAACTTAAATTATCGAATCATTAGGAATGAAGATTCATTGAAACGCGATAGACAATTTTCTCGGTAATTTCAGTGTTATTGCTGTAAAATTGTTAAATTTTCTCTTGCGTATGGAAGTCGTTGTTTTTAATTTTACAGTAATTTTTTTTTTGAAAATTCGTAAATATTAGCTTCTATTGAGCAGAAAATAATTTTAATTGGGAAATTGTATTTATTTAAACCAACCGTAATTTTATTCAAAAGTCCTGAATTAAAAAAATGTTTAAATTCGTCATTAAAAAACTTTTTTAAGAATTTTAGTTAAATTAAATTAAATATAATTAAAATTAAATTGAATTCTTTGTTAAATTAATTTATTATTCAGAGTCATGTGCAAAGGAAAAATTTTCGCTCGAAATCGCTCACGAGTCTCCAGTATTGCTCATATTGAACCAAACTTTTCGATCGAATTCATGGAAATTGAACTTCTCTCGCCCGTCAGGCCGGACGGTGCTGAACGACCACACGTTCCGCACGCGGGAGGTGGCGGCGGGCTGGATCAGCTCGTCGAAGCTGCTGCGCGTGCGCCCCACCAACTACGAGGGCCGCCACGTGGAGGTGGTGTGCACCGCCGCCCACCCTGTGCTGGCCAGGCACGCATCACACGTCGTCACTATCATCAGTGGGTGCACAAAATGATACACATCAAGCATTCCTTCGTCAATTTACTATTAACCTAATAACTCAAATAAATTATTCGAGAAGTAAAAATTTTCAAACTCTGCTATTGGGAAATGTCATCACTCGGTTTTGAGGACAGAATTACATATGAAAAATATAATTAAATTGCGGTAAAATGGAAAGTGTAAGCTTCTCCCTACATTTTGGCAATAAGTATATGTTGAAAATAAGTGTGACGTTGATTATAATAGTGAGAATTGATTACATAACCATATGTCGATAACCCGTTTCTCATAGAATATAATTATGACATATTATTAGAACCTCCCGGCGCTCCATCTTTGGGTGGTGACATACTGGGCCAAGTGCTTGCCGGGACTGTCATCACCATCGCCTGCACCACCAAGGGCGGCAACCCTCCACCCACCATCAGGTAAGCCATCATCAGTCGCCACCGCTTAAGGTTAAGCCACCGTCAGTCACCACACCATAAGGTTAAGCCACCGTCAGTCATCACCCCATAAGGTTAAGCCACCGTCAGTACACATTAACCATCAGCAAAGACATATCACCCCATAAGGTTTAGCCGCCAACAGTCTTCACTGTACGTCAGGCAAGCCAAAAGTCATCACCCTCATAAGGTAAGCCACACACCAGTCACTCCTCATCATCGGCAACAGGCCATGGGCCTATTTCTTCAGCGCCGACACTTCTATTCTATTCTATGATGTTTGTCACAACAGTTGTCACCATACATAAGATACACCACAATAAAAACTATGCATCAGATGAGCCAAACCAATCACCGTCCTCGTCAGGTAAGACACACCAGTCACCTTGCGCTATAAAATAACAGAATTTTTATTATAAAAAACTCAACCCCGAACAATTCCAAGCGGTTAAATATTCTTCCTATGGAAATGAATGAATGAAGATTTCATATTTGTGGTGGCCTCGTGAGTCTTCCTCATCATGGCGGCGCATTAGAGGGATTCTCGGTGGAAATTTCTAAGGGATTTTATCCTCATTTTTGGTGATTAAATTTTGCCTCATCAGTGATCGGGTGCATCAGTGATCTTAGAAATGTCGTCGTAAAACAGAAAACATTTTGAATAATGATGTAGCTTTTCATTGGTATTTCCTGTATGCAATATCTCAATGAACAGTGGCATGAAGATGTGCGAACTATGAAATTTTTTGGGCTTTAATGTGTTCGTGGGATGGATTTTTATATAACTGCATTGAAGATACGAGAATTGCACTGGTTCTTTGCTATTTTATCTTGCTTTATTTCTATTTATAAGGTTCCTTTGGCCTAACCGCTCTTGCAGGGCAGTAAATCTTGCATAGCTATCAGAGTAGATTTTATTAAGTTCATGGAAGTACATTCGAAGTTAAAATATGAAAATTCAAATCACATTTTAATCAAACTGACTGGAATTTTTATTATTGGTATCTTAAATTAATGTTTTCACTTGAAAAATCAATCATTAATTTGAAATTCAAGCAAATTTCTAAGCAATTTATAAATACTCGTGTGTTACAATAATACCGGTGATTGAGAAATATTAACGTGACAGAATTGCAAATTATTTTTATTGTATTCATTCGAGGTACGTATAAAGTTTGAGTGGATGATATGAAATATACGGTGAAATTTTTTCATTGGCTCTACGTCGTGAAGCCTGATTTACGTGGAGAGGGATACTGATCTAATTAAGAGAAGGCCTTTTTGGCTGCAAGAATGGGCTATTCTGCTTGAAGTTTCCTTTAGAAGTGTTCAGGATTTAGGAGTTGCGAAAAATTTCCCAGGAAATATTTTAGGTCGAGAGGTAAAAGGGCTTTTTGGTAGTCCCTCTTTTCGCTATCGCGCTCAGCAGCGACCGAAGGCTTTGACGAGTAAAGCTCTGGACGACTAGCGTTGATAGAAACGACTTGACGCCGCCAGTCTGAGTCGCGATAAAAGACCAGCGTCAAGCGCTTGTTGAGTAACGGGCGTTTCGACTGAGTCTCGTCTCATCTCGTGCGCTTTATCTTGCTAAGTCGAGGGATGAGGGACATGGACTACCCACATCTGAGGTAGAGATGAGGCAGGGCACCGCATTATCGGACGAGTGGCAGACTTCGAGTGATGCCTGCATCAGAGCTTAGAGCGAGATCGATCTAGTGGCGCCAGACGCACATGCAACTCTACGTTGAGCATATTTATAGGCATAAAAAACAGACGAAATAGCAGCTACAAGTGCCAGGAAAATCGATTGCCTGGTGCATGACTTTATCAAACCAAAGATTTACCGTCAATTCATTTAGAAATATATGTTGATCGTGACATAGAGCAAATAAAACGTTTTAAGTACACATATCTCATAAAATTCGGTCAGATATAGTTTAAAATTTATAAGCTCTATTGCTATTTGTATCGACAAGTTATTGAGCTCTAGAAATTAACCACAAAATTTTTGCAGGAGAATAAACTAAGACAAGCGGTGACCTCTTACCCTCAAGGCTGCTATATGTTAAACCTGAATAGTTAGGGGTAATTTTTCACGATTTTGAGTTCAGTAACTCATTGCAGACAGTTCATTACTATTGCAAATGACTGCTGCTTGCTCTCAAGAACTGTCGATGCTGAACATTGAATTAGCAAATTGGTCTTGGATTGCACTCCAGTGATTGAGTTCATCTATGTTTTGAGGGTCGACCCTCGAGAACCTATATTCTTAGAGCGGGATCTGTTCTGCCGAGCCCTCGTCGTTATCGTATTGCCAGATTCCCGCAATTACCGTTATCGGCGGCAATCTTGCGCAACGATATCGGGCTCTCTTTATGATTGCTATATGCACTTCTAAATATCGATAACCGAGTTGCCGCAATGTTCTTCATGAGAATTCGTTTGCATAAACACATTGAATGTGTCCTTATTATCGAGTGCGCAGATGTGCAGTCGCTACTGGCAATTCAAGTTGCGTTCCATCAGGTACGCGTAAATGGTTTGAATTGCGTCCGTTATGTCCACTTAAACCTCGATATTATTTTAGACAGTCCTGTAAGCTTCATTCTTCTCGGCTTAGAAGAAGAATATTTAATTTCGGCGAAACATAACTCCCTAATTCTTTAAAGTAAAATATTTATTGATGAAAATGACTTTAGAGCATGGATCGCGAAGTTAGTACAAAAATGTAACGTCATTGACATATACATAGACTGACTTTTTGTTGACTCTCTTGTGGGAAATTTTTGGCGCTATTTCAAATTTTTAGGAAGTGTTATTTTAGTTACGGAAGAGTCTCGTCACTATTTAACTATATGGAGAAGGCATCATGTGCTGACTCAGTTACGGGACGGAATTTTTCATACAACATTCTTAATTTTTGCAAGGATCGAAGATATTATATCTATCGTGTTGCAATTTTTGTACGACAATTTTTAAATGATCAAGCATGAACAAGATGCACTTGGGACTTGGGAAACTATATGGGAACCATCAATTACTTAGTTCTAGTTTGATATTAAGGTTATCAAAAGTTGCGAAAAAATTACTTGAGATATAAAAATTTCTTTGTAATATGACTGTACTTAATACCTGATCTGGCATAATCGTTTAAGAAATGCAAAGAGCGAAGAATAGCTCTATAGAGAAAAGCGCGGCTATAGAGTTAGTAAAATAATATATCTCTCTTTATTTTCAATGTTTAAAAAATATTAATATTCGGCGCGAATAAATTCTAATTATACTATAATTGCGAGCTGATTGTGCAATCGCGTTCATAAAACATCACGTCTGTGTTCTTAAAGAAAAACAAGTTGTGATCCCGCATCAGACAAAATGTTTCAAGGCATGATTAATGTTCTTAAAGTAAACAAGTTCTGAAGCAGCATGAAGTTGATGTTCCACGAGCTCCAGTGACGGTCGAAATAATGCCTTGATCCGAATACCCTGCGCTTTTGCGCTTTTAAGAACCCGGTTCTCTCTTACGACTCGCGTATTGTTTACGACAGCGCATCATCAAAAAATTCTCGTTCTGAACATCAGGAGGGAAGTCGACGACGAGGGTGTCAATAACGTCGACGTCATAAGGCGAGAGGCACGAGTGCTTGCTTCTAATATTGAAGAGGCACACAAGTGTAGAGCTGGCTCAGGCGTTGTGCCGGCATGACTTTCAGCCTTGCAATCATCTTGTGCTTTTTGCTTGATGCAGCACCATGGAAAATAATTGAAGTGATATAGTCGGCTATTCGCTGGCCATACTGAACAGGCTTGAAATTTTGGTGAGCTGTTGATGTTTTCGGTTTTTCTTCAGAAATGGCGTGGATTGTTCATTCCGGCGCCATTCGTTGAGCGATGACAGAAACGTGAAATTATCTCTAGCTGTTTCTGTTCCTGAGATCACTGCAACTCGTTATCAAACCAGTGCTTCCTTATATCAACTCGTTGCCTCAAAATTTTTAGTTGCCTTCCTGCACCTCACAAATATCCCTCTTGAGGCAATTGCACGAGGCCTGTAGAGGCCGTACAGATGTGGTCAGTACATGAGGCATACATGTCTCAGCCTTTAGTTGACTCCCTTCACCTCACATACTAGGTGCACACCTTCCTACACCTCACAAATGTATATCCCTCAGCCCACTTTCATGCCTCAGCCTGAGTGTGGGCGGCCAGAACCTGACGACGAGCGCACTGCAGGAGGGCGACGTGAGTGAGGTGGTGGGGCGCCTGAGTGTCACGCCGCAGCACAACCGAGCGCCGGTGCTCTGCGTCGTCACGGGCGCTGCAGAAGGGCAGGGAGGAAGCGTCGAGGCCACGCTTGACGTCGCATGTAAGATAACAACATATTTTGCAAAGGGCTTATCTCAACCGAACCTGGCGTCTGACATTGAAATAACGTTTAATAAACGTTTGCTAGACGAATTTAACTCGTAATTAACGTTATTTCAACGTCATTTGCCAGTAGCAGGATGGCTGGTAAAATACTTGTAACTTATTAATGACATCGATGCAGTAGTACTCGGTTTAATTTTTCGATATTAGATATTTTTTATTTTCAATTAGACAACATGAATTCATTTAGCAATAAGCATTAATTTTTTATGAGCCAGAGTGCATTTTCCAATTTATGATCTCGAATGTTATTTGGAAGTAAGGCATGAATTGATGTAATTCTCATTTTCAAGTTTTTAGTATGTCAATGTGTTAAGAAAGATGGCAATCAAGTCATTTTGCAAGCTGAATTTTCCAAGATGAAACTAATAATAGTGAAAAAATTAGGTAATTTGGAGCCATTTGTTGGATATCAGACCATTAAACAGCTTCAAGTATTTGACTATTTAATTTTTCAAGAATTGCTATGAAATTAAATACTTTAAAAGTTATTATCATTGTACGAATTACGCGTTCATTGCTGTTCATTACTCCCATAAAGTTTCCGATTAAATGTTATTATTAATAATGCTTGTTTACGTTCTGTCAGGAGCAGGTAATGCTCCTGCACGTATAGAGTAAGAATACATCGAGGCACCAAGTAGGCAACAATCATAATTTCCGTATTTATTTCAGAACATGATTTCTGGCGCAAAATTGTTTGTGGAAACCCGTATAGAGATTTAATTCGGGAAAATATTTTGCCTGAGATGGAAGATCATAGCGCATAAACTAAATGTCCCAACACATATCGTTAGCACTCAGACTGTAGGTGTGATCGAAGTTGACTCTTCCTCATTGATCAAGTTTTCGCTGTGATGCCGTGCCGTGAACTATTCGATCTCGCTTCAGTTAAATGCGATCATGATTTCTATCTCTTGGAGAAGAAGTTAACATTAGAAAACATGATACCTTTTAGCAGTCAAAAGGCGATGTCAGTCAAAGCAATAACATCCCACCTGGGATGCTACAGAGAGTTGTAGAGTGCACCTACGCAGGCGCGCTGCTCTGCTTGATCAATAAATGAGGATTAAAAAATGGTGCTGCATTTTTAAAATTAATTGGTATCTTCTTCGCCGAATTGCACTGAAGATTAAACCCTTTATATCCTCTAAAACTATGTAACTTTTTTCTACGTTATGTGTTCATTATGATGAAAATGATCCTACTTATGACCCACCCTGTTGAATGGGAATAACGCGTTGTTGCCTCATAAACATGTGCAGTCAGCGCGGCGTCGACGTCGGTGAGGGCAACGCCCCCAGAGTTGGACGAGGGTGAGACGGTAACCCTGACGTGTGACGTGGGCCCCAGCAACCCCCCACCCAGGGTGAGCTGGCGTAGCGAGGACCTGCACTACCGCGGGGCTCGCAACACCGAAACTGCGGCTGAGTTCGGCGGCGTCACTGTCAGGTTAGTATTTTATTTTGATGAATAGGTTCTCCGTGTGCTGCATTCTGTGTAAGAAGATATATTTATTCTAATTGTAGAGTATGACGTAGAAAGTAGGCACTCAAGACCTTAAATTACTCCTAGAGATGTAGGCTCGGTAATAATGATAGGAAAATATTAGTAAATCATTCGCCAACTTATTGCGATGATGGGTTTAAAGGAAAGACTGATATTTCAACATTTTCTGTCATAGGAACGTTGAAACCGAATTATATTACATGAAGGATATGTTGAAGAATCTTGTGAATTGCATAAATCTTTTACAGTCACGATGTTATAAATTCATTCAGCCCTAATGGTTCACATTTTGCTTGGTTGGTTAATTTTTTTCAACTCTCAGTTGACTACTTTGAATCATATCTTATCATAGGCAATTAGAACTTCCCAATTTGATAAAGTAGAATTCTTTCTCAAGCTGGAGAATTTTTTTTAGCTAGTATATACATATGAACAAATCTTCAATCGTTCCTGCATTTTACTTAGTTCGTGCAAGGGAACAGCAAAACGTGACATTGAAATCATCAAATGTAGATTCTATGCTTCAAATGAAGACCGAAAACAATTATTCGTCAATTCCGAGTCGCATGCATCACCTACAATGCGGGATGCGCTGATACCGAGCGCAGCTGCAACGAAGGATGACAATGCTTTCAGAACCGGTGTGGTTGTCGGGATCCGGTGGAGCAGAAGTGATGGTAATTCTAAGGGACCTTTGCGGAGATTGCTGACGTGTCACCTACAGACTAATGGTCTGCGTTAGCTGGATATGCTCCAAATTCTCAACACCCTGACGAAGATAACGAAGCAGAGTTCTAGGATTAGACTGGTACGGACTTGACTCAAATGTAAATGCCAAAGTGTCGAGCGTGTCTTGAAAAGTAAACTTAAGAACTTTCGAATAATTTACTGGCTACGTAAATACCGATAATGTAGGCAATAAAAAAGGCTAATAAAGTGTAACTTTTACATTCTAAAAATACATGGTTAAAATGCATCCAAGAATTTTTTATGTGCGGGTGTTCAAAGTATTCAATCGCGAACTATGTCAGAAATTTAGCGTTGAAAATAGTTTCAATGCTTGAAGCTTCACACTTTATGATCCCATTACTTCAAGGTGAATCGAGTCCATGGTTCAATGATTGCATCAATTCAAATGATAAAAGTTTTGCAATGTGCGAAACTTCATGGTATAAGTTGAGAAGTAAAGTTTACTTTTCGACAAATTTCCCTATAATTTTATTTAAGAGAAAGAACTCCAACATTATCTTGGATTAGCACATTTTCAAAACTTCGGTAATGATAAAATTTTATTAATGGAATTCGGTAAATCGATGGCTATGTTCAAAAAGTATAAGAACACAAATTGCAAGTCGCTGCAAGGTGAAGCCTGACCTGTTCTGTTGACTTCACTCTAAGTAAGCTCGTCACTGCACCTCTAGTTCAAATAACTTTCTAGAGAAAATACTTCGTCTAGAAATGGGCAGCCGAACACGTCTAGGTTTCTGTAGCTGGTCGTAATTAAGCTCAATATAATGTAGTACTGAGATTATTTTTGTTGAGGCGTGAAGTTTTATTCATAGTGGTATAAATAACAGTATAAGCAGAAGCAGGAAGTAAATCAAAACTAGTAAAAAAATATAACTCAGTACCCATTGCAGTGAGTGACAGAGAGCGCATTGTCTCGTCGACGAAAACGTGAAGTCACGGACGGACAGACAGACAAACAGACAGACAGACAGACGGACGGACGGACATGACGAGCACAATTAATAGCGCCTTTTTTTCCATAAATAAGAAATGCGGAACTGCAGTTGCTGAAGCAGCAGCAGTACTCTCAACATTACCTGCAATAACTTGTCCATATGCAGCAAAAATAATTGTAATTACACATTAGTCGCTGCAGTGGAAAAAGCAATGAATCATTCACGCTGGAAAAATTACGGATTGATCACGAGCATCAACATTTTGACTCCAAATGAATGTTTGCAATGTCCGCTGGCAATTAGATTAAGCATTAAGCGGGGTAGCAGACTCGGATCAGTTAATCTTCTTTCGGCACTTAACGAGGTCGTTGACGCTCTAACGTCTGATTAAGAGAAGGTCAGGAGTTTCACTTCTAAGAACAACCAATAGAATTTTCGATTGATAAACATGTGTATCAACCTTCCTATGCGAGTGAAAAAGTGAAATTTAATAGTTGATCCAATTAATTGAAAGAACGATGTAATATATATTAAGAAATTCAATGCATTTGCATCTATATGTATCTTTTACTCTATTGTGGAACCCTGAACAGAGATTAATTTAAAAAGTTTTCATGTAGAAAATGATCTTGTCAATTAGCATCTATGTTAAAAACGGAAATTCTATCGCGCAAAGCGAACTTTGCGGCGAACAGAGATGCAGCCATGATGAGACGTAACTCTTAAAGGGAATATCATACTGACACGCCTTTCTTTGGTGTTGTGTTTAAAGAATTGTACAGAATTTGAATTACTACTGATATGAGAAACGATTTATAACTGCGCGTTTATGTTACGGACCTACTGTAGATTGTTGTGAATGCTCTCGCCCAAAATTATTTTTGCACCCAATTAATAGGTGGTGGCTTGTCGGCCTCCAGAGCATGCTTTAAATACTTTATACAATATTATAATTAATATAATTGACCTGAACAACTGCACGCAAGTAATGTCACACGACGGTCTCGTCGGCAGGTCGGTGCTGGAGCTGCAGGTGGGTGCGGTGGACCACATGAGGGTGTTCACTTGTGAGGCAAACAACGGCGTCTCGCAGCCTACCTCCGCCAACCTCACCATCTCCGTCAGACGTGAGTATATATACAGAGTTAATCATGCCATTATGCAATAAATTTATGATGAAATCTAGATACATTCTTGTTATGCAATGGATTTGCGATTAAATCTAGATAAAGTGTGCAGCTTGTATATGCGCAGTCCATGGTAGTCCATACATCTTTGTTCGACTAATGACTGATCCTAAACAAGGGAGGGAACCAATTATCATCAATACTTGAAAGTATAATTTACAATTAAGCATTTGAAGAAATGCAGAATTAATATGTCAACATAAACAATTAAAAGAATTTATAACTAATTAATTCAAGATTAACAATTACAATTATTTAAAACTGGAAAGTTCAAGATATTGAGATTTTCATATTGCTCGGTCAAATAAATGTAAGACGATCTTCATCAATAGATAAATTTTATAAAGTTTTGTTTTAATTCGTTGAATTGCCGCTGTCGACATTCATTATTAGTCATTCCTTTGCAAAAAATCAACGTTGTTGAAAGCCTGATAAACATCAAGTGAAATTAAACTGCAGCCAGCGATACAGAAGCTGTAGACCTGGAGCCACAATCCCTTCCTTATTTCGGAGGCGGGCAACAGGAGCGCGTAATTTAATATTTCCAACCGCAGCCAATGTAGGGTCAGAGTGCGCCTGTAATATGCATTGCTGGAGCCATTCTGATTATATTTATTAGGTTACGAACACTGGTGCTCGGAAGCCAGGATATTGTTCAAGGATATGCGTAGCTTGCTTCATTCTCGTTCTTGAGTCGACAGCGTTTAGAGAAATTCACGAAACAAATCAAACAAGAAATTTTGGAATAAATTCTCCGGAAAATTTTTACCTTTGATTTGAATGAAATCCAGTTAAACTCAAATGAGCTTTGGCCATTAAGTTTGAACGACAAAATTTCTCATGGCTAATGCTTGATTGAAAGTGAACGCACGAGAGAACATCCACGCTGGAAACAAGCTCTGTGGGGATTTCGGTATAAGCTGAACATTCTGTACTCTGCCATCTATAGGACGGGTGCGTTCCCAAGTGCGGAATCAAGCTGCATTCTGGCAGAAAATACAAGAGAACGCCACGGTTCTTCAAGATTTTCCGCATTTTTAGCAAAACTTAAATGCAACATGCGTATTCGGCCACGCGACTCGGAATATCAGCGATCAGACCGAGGCTTTGCAAGGATGTGCAGTGTCTTGAATGCACGTGCCTGATGAGAATGTCACTGCTGCGTGCTTGCGTGATCCTTTGGCACCCGTTCGTGTCTCACGAGTGTCCATTCGTATCATACCTGCTGTGAATATGCAGTGTCTCACCTGACACTGGTTTGTACTGCAATGTCCCACCTGGCACAGGTTTGCACTGCAGTGTATCACCGGAAGGTAGTGCATAAATCTCGTGTGTCTTACTTAATGCTAATGTGTTCGCTTGAGTCTCGCTACACTAGCGTATCTTTGAGAGCCACGTCTTATACGTGCATCAGTGGATGTCTCACTAGCTTATGAAAATTGGACAAACGTCGACTCCACTATCAATTATTCCTTTGGAGCCGCCAGCTCAGCTTATTTATAGAGATCACAGATTTTCAAAAGTCTCGTCTCGCGATAAAGCGAAATTTAAAAGTTTCGCAAAATTTTTTCGCGGTTGCATGTGATATGATAAAAGATACGATGATAGTATTTCTAAGGTTTCTTCTGAAATTAAAATTATGAAACATTTCAACGAGGATACATGAAAGACTTACGATGTTGATAAAATACAGAATTAAATATATTCAGCTTAAAATAAATACAATGCATGCTGGATTTTAAATTGCAAGCCTTTAATTTAAAATATTATTGACTGCTTCTTGTGCTAGTTATATTTGAAACCTGATATTAGCTTAAAATTGGCACCGGCGAGGCTTTTTATTGAATTTAATTAAACAAAGGAAGTGATTATTTCCTATGTGGGATTTTTTATGCAGTTATATTGCATAAAATTTCCGTAATTCATGCGATAACCAGAAGTAAAATGTATGTGAAGGTAAATAATTGATTTAAATTTGTAGGATTTATACAAATTTTTGTTATGCCTTTATTATCGTAAGGTTTTGCATTTTTCTATCACAAACTAGTAATTAGGGAGCGTCAGCCACTGATTTTGAATGCACTAATTTAGGTAGGTAGTTTAGTTGAGTATGCCACGAGATAATCGTTTGATCCCGCATAAAATATAGCATAACTGGCTTTTTGTCTTCAAAATGGCAATGAATGATCTTTAGAATCATTCAAATTGGAAAATGAGCGCAGTCAGTCAGCAAAGGACGACTGCGTCGACTGAGGCAACCAAAGTCACTTATTCAAAGTAATATCAAGTAATTAACGCGTAGCTCAATATAACTTTCAAATAGCTTTAATGAGATCGTGTATCTCCTATCTTTATAGAAGTTCACAAGCAAATTTGAATGTTATATGCATGTATCGATTATTGATTATTTAATAGAACAGCTATTTTGATTACTACAACAAAACGAATGTTATTTGCGGTGATGCGAAACACTGAATGAAACTAAGGAAGATTGGGATATGGCCTAATTAAAATGGATTTTCTATTAATGAATGCATTACCCTGACTAAAATTCGTTTTCAAAACTTTTTGTAACATTCCAAACTATTCAAAGGCTATTTAATTCGGCACAATTTTCCAAATTGAAGATTTCTCTCACCTGCAAGTTTTCAGCAGTCGAGAGAGCAACTTGCAATCCTCACCCAAAGGTCATCTGATTATCTGGTCGTCAGCCACTTAGGAAAAAGGAGGCAATAATCTGGCAAAGACGATGAAATCAGGCAAGTTTTCTTTGGTTCCGCAGCGCTAAGTCGTTGTTGAAACTTTCGATCCAGAAGATTAGAGCGTCCGTAAGTTCCATAACAGCCTCCTAATGCCATCGCAATCTCGAATGGCGCTGTGTTTAGAAGTCTCTTTCACCATCGCAATGAACGTCCTACTCGGTTTGTGGAAATTTTCTTTTCGAAAAACTTGGGCTGGTAGTTACAGTGTAAGAGAAAGGCACGAGACATGAAGTGCTGGACAGGGATACGATTCTCAGCGTATAACTTTAGTCGTACGAAATAAATTTTTTCACAAGGCTTTGAAATTTATCCATGAGAATTTCGTTAAAGAGTTTTGTTGGATTCTATTGAAAAGAAACCGTTAAAAGATAACTAAACCGCAGAACTCTTCTCACCCCCGAAAAATAACTTCTTGCTGCGATTTTCGTTTGATTTGGAGGAATTGAAAAATTGAATTATGCATCGGGAATTCATACGTTTACCAGGAGAAAAATTCTCCTAGTAAAAATTCTCCCTCGTTTACTAGGAGAAAAATTCTCATAGTAAACGAGTCTTCTCTATACGTCTGCTTTATTATATTTTATTTGCTAATTATTTCTGCTTACGCAAATTGCACTCTATTGGCGCTGACGACGCTTGTGGGGGTCCCGATATAACTTAGCAGAGCCCATCCTTCTTGGCGCGTCCCGTGCGCCGAAATTCAAGTCCCGCGTCGGTCTAAACCAGAGGCATTTCTTTGCGGTCCCCGAGCCATCCATCTCAAGAGACAAGTCCAGAAGGTTTCTCTGACGGCCAAATTCATTTACAGTCTCACAGAAAACTTACAAGGATGTTCCGAAAGAGCTTAGACAGCGAACATTTCGATCGTAGTTAGTTTCCTCCCTCGGCCCTACTTCACAGCTCCGGTTTTACCGCTGGTTATGTATTGGAGTGCAGTTCCGGAGTACACGCTGGTATAGAGATTTGAATCTATTAAAATAATGAATTCATAATAACGTTCATCGTACTGAGTTAAGCTTGTCAAGAAAGTTTAGGCAGGAGAGTGTTGCTTTATGAAGTGTAGAGCTTCTCAAGCGGCAAGCGAATTTAGAGGAGTTATTAATTCGGCCGGATACGGTGGATGCGCTAATGTTAGCTCTAAAATTTAATGTTTAAAAATACAACTGGTAACCGCTGAGTATTTCGCAGCATAAAATGAATATTCGAATTGCTGTTTTTATTGCTTAAAGCTCCCTGAAAATCTATTTTTAATATGAGTTTTATTTTTCAGGCTTTTATCCTGCGACTAATGTTAAGAATTTTGATTAATAACGTCTACCAATTTTTCTTGAATATCATGTATTTTATGCCATGTGCGTAATTTCTCAAATTTTTGCCCTTATGTTAGTTAAACTTCGAACAGATTCGTGCACTTGTTCATTGTCAGTTCATGCCAGAAATAGGGAGCGTATCGCCATTAGTCAAAAGGCTTGTCAAAATTGCAAGATTCGAGCATTGAAGTAATGTTTGTGTTTATTTTTTCACACTCGTTTGTTGTTCTGCCGTATTCGCAGGGCATCTTTGTTCAATGCAGTCTCTACTCCAGAATTTCAAACTTTCCTCCATTCCAAGTTTCCGCTGTCGATTTATTTATATTTTTCATAATTTAATTCAAATTAAATTTTAATTTTATAATTTTTTGAAATGAAGTATTTTGTGCGTGGATTTTACTTCTACTCCGTTTTTCTTATCCAAATTAAGTTTGAGCAATTTCAGTTCTTTTCGATTAATTGAAATTATTGTTTATTCGCGTGGGTAGACTCGCCGGTGTGGGTGGTGGCGGTGCACGGAGCGCGACCTGTGAAGGAGGGAGAGAGCCTCGCCCTCACGGCCCTCGCCTCAGCCTTCCCGGGGCCACTGAGGTGAGTGACATCTGTGCGGCACATCCATATGTGCTAAGACACCCCTTAGATATATTTATGCGTCTCCTTTTCAGCTGTATTTTTCATAATTTTTGTGAAAACTACAATAAAAATTGGCATTTTAACATGTAAATGAGTAGTTCTCAATCTGCCTGCCTATCTCAATAATTTTGAGATAATAATAATTTAATAATATCGGGGAAATAATTTTTGATTAGACTACTAAATAAGCTAGCACAAAATCTACTCTCTCAGGTACACATGGGAACGTGCAGGACACATCATCAAAATTAAAGAGTATACCGCTGAAGAAATTCGTCTCACTAAATTCCACAACGCTCGAATGTCGCTGTCGGCGTCGTCGGAAGATGGCGTGGCATATCTCCTGCCTCAGTCTAGCTACGCAGGGGCGATGTCTTCTACAGGAGATCTCAGCTCCAAAGAACACGAGGTCTTCCTTCAGCCTGAACCTGAGCTCTTCTCGTACGGCGGCTCTCAGCACGGATTACTTCCGGGCTATGGACACGATCGTTATCGCTTTCCTGATGAACTCGTGCAGGAACAAAAGCCAGATTTTACAGATCAGCCAGTGGGAGTGCTGCTCTTGAAAGACATCACGAGGAAAGAGAGCGGAAAATACTCGGTAATTGCTACCAGCCCCAGAGGCAGCGTCAATTCAAGCTTCCACATCGATGTCATGTGTAAGTATGTGTGAATGCAATGTTTCTGCGATCCCTGCCTCTAACTTCTCGCTAAGCCCGCGCCCGCAATTGTTTATGAGACGTCGTCAACCGGAACGACGTGCGCACACAGCCGTGCTACCTATGTTTATTTAACACAGAATGCTCTTCAAACAATACAGATATCATGTTTGATTCATTATTTAGAAGCTATGTTCATTTTGCAACGCAGTGCAATGAAATTCAGAATTTAATTCCCACCTGCTTCCTCTTCGAAAATTAGAAAATATTACAGGAACTTTTTTCCATTATTTAAATCATAGTACACTTTCTCTTCGGTGTAGTGAATATTCCATAACAGTGTGTCTGTCCTCAATTAATTTTTAATTTTAAGATGACAATTTTTGCTTGAATAATTTTTCTTTTACAACTCTTTGTTTAGTGACATTCTGGTATAGAATGTTTAATCCTGGTTTTGTATAACAACTGAGGCACATTTTTTCATATTACTTATTATTATGATGAGTATTTTTTACTTTTTTACGATTTTTGTGCGTTCATCAAGATTGAGGCAATTAAAAATACACATTTAATCTAAAAAATGATCAGCTAATAATAGTTTCCTACACAAAAAAATTACTTATCTGGGAATTTCGATTGCGCATCAAGCTAAAATATCTTCGTTTGATGTTGATGTAATGAAAAATCTGTCCAGTTGTAAAATATAATAACAACAAATATATAAGATATCTTTACATATTACTTAATTTAAATAATTTAAATCCTTATGAATGAGCTTATGGTTTGATGTGGCGCAGTTCCTCCTGAGAAAGTGGTCGCCCCTCCGCGAGTGTTGGCGAGTCCCGGCGAGGACGTCGAGCTTGGCTGCAGCGCTGAGGGTAACCCAGAGCCCAGCGTCTCGTGGTACAGGCTGAGGGCGTGAGTAATGCTCATTGGTACTTCTCTAACAACAGCAATAGAGCCCAGCGTCTCGTGGTACAGGCTGAGGGCGTGAGTAATGCTCATTGATATTCTCCAACAGCAGCAATAGAGCCCAGCGTCTCGTGGTACAGGCTTAGGGCGTGAGTAATGCTCATTGATACTTCTCTAACAGCAGCAATAGAGCCCAGCGTCTCGTGGTACAGGCTTAGGGCGTGAGTAATGCTCATTGATATTCTCCAACAGCAGCAATAGAGCCCAGCGTCTCGTGGTACAGGCTTAGGGCGTGAGTAATGCTCATTGATACTCTCCAACAGCAGCAATAGAGCCCAGCGTCTCGTGGTACAGGCTTAGGGCGTGAGTAATGCTCATTGATATTCTCCAACAGCAGCAATAGAGCCCAGCGTCTCGTGGTACAGGCTTAGGGCGTGAGTAATGCTCATTGATACTTCTCTAACAGCAGCAATAGAGCCCAGCGTCTCGTGGTACAGGCTTAGGGCGTGAGTAATGCTCATTGATATTCTCCAACAGCAGCAATAGANCCAGCGTCTCGTGGTACAGGCTGAGGGCGTGAGTAATTTTAATTGAGACTTCTGTAACAGTAGCAATAGAGTCCAGCGTCTCGTGTTACAGGCTGAGGGCGTGAGTAATTTTAATTGAGACTTCTGTAACAGTAGCAATAGAGTCCAGCGTCTCGTGGTACAGGCTGAGGGCGTGAGTAATGCTCATTAATAAGCACCTCTCTAACAGCAGCAATAGTAGAGGGTGCTGGTCACTGTACTGATACTTCAATAGCAGTTGTGTGAGCTGCTGCTAGTCTGAAGAGTGATACTATTCTGAAAAACTGTAGTAAGTTCATGTTATGATATCATCAACGATACTGCACTAATAGTAGTGTATCACTGCTGTCTGTCTCAGTTATTTGCTACCAGCGCTTGAGCACCAAATGCAATTTCATTTGTTTGACCCATATTTTTCTTGTTATTGCTGTCATCTGCCATAATTTTGGTTACTGATAGTTTTCCGGAAGGAAAGGAAAAAAGTCTGTCTCTTTTTTATAATATGATGTTCTATTAAGAAATTAATATAATTGTATCTATGATGGGATGTTAGTTCGTGGAATTTCAGGTTAAAACTGCATGATTTTGCAATTAACGTATGATGTTCTCTGCGACGCAGGTCAGTGCCAGAGACTGCACTGTCAGACGCAGAGCTGCTGTCTGCCAGTGACATCGTGCGTCTTGACAACTCCAAGGACGGCAAGCTACAGCTGCTCGCCGTCAATGCTCTGGACACGGGCGCATATCAGTGCGTGGCAGAGAACAGCGTCGGCAGAGTCGCCACGCATCCTTCCAGCCTCATCGTCGCGCGTGAGTCTTGTCACTTGCTTACAAATGTCAAAAAATCATTTCAGGTATATTTAGGAGTAAATAATTGTGAATTTAATTATTTATTTATTAACAAGGACTAATGAATTAATTCAGTTGTATGAATTAATTCAGTTGTGAGAAATTTTTTTCATGAAGATGAGTGCATCTAAAAAGTGAATTGGCTTTCTGACTGAATTATAATTAGAATAAATTACTGAAATTATTTTGTAATGAAATCGCATTAAAAGTAATTGCCTAAACAAGGGAGTGCCTGCAAAATTAAAATTTCATTGATTGAAATATTACTAAAGTGTTTTTTTGAAATCTTTAGCATAACTTTAGACATACATTTCAGTTATCAGTTAAATGTAATATTATGTTGGTCGAGTGAACTTTGTTTGGTGTAATAGTTCGGTCATTAAACGATAATGGTTGATAATTTTTCATTCATATAATACAGAGGAATGTTACATAATTGAAGGAAAATCCCACCAACGGTGGTGCGTACGGAGAACGTTGTGATACAAAAAAGTTATAAAAAAGGTTTCAGTTATGGTCCGCCCTCAACCAGACTTGTATGGCTGACTGGGAGGCAGGTAGCGATGTTGCTGCCACGACGTCGGCACTCAGGGAGTTCCATATTCTGATGGCCGAAAGAAAGCAGGAGTGTAGGTGGACGTTGGTTCTGATGCGTGGGACCTGCATCTTCTAATAGTGTCCCTTTGTTGCGCGTGTATCATGTTGGCACAATCCTGAAAGATGTTGGCCATCGACTAGGCGATGCAGCATTTTGTACAGCATGCATGCTTTGTCTGCCGTTCTCCTCAGATGGAGCTGGCCCAAATTAAGCCTGGCTCCCATCTCAGTGGCACTGGATGTGGAGGCTAAAGTCACCTAGGAATCTGAGGGCCGTTCTGCGTTGTACCATTTTCAGGTTCTGCTTATGCGTACCCTAGGCAGATGATGCATAGTCCAGCACCGGTTGTACAAGGCCTTTGTAGCAGTGGACTCAAACTTGTGTTAGGCATCCTTTAAGATTTCGGCAGGGGAACGCGAAGGATCGGTTGGCTTTGGCGGCAGTTACCTCGATGTGTTTCTCCTAGGGCAGAGATTCTGATATTTCAACCCCGAGGTACTTGACACTGGGGACGTGTTCCAGGGCCTGTCCATAGAGCAAGTGGGTAGTTAGTACTTAATTCCTCGACTTGGAAATTGACTGCAGGTGGCATTTGTCAACGTATTTGCCATTTACTGTGGCATTTCAACGGTGACATTTACTCATATATCTCATAAACACAATAAATGGACTTCATTATATTGTAATTACGACCAATGTGAACAATTTCAACGCAATAAAAATTAAAAAATAGCAAAGTTGAGAAAGGGAATTCTCCAATGCTTATGATGGTTAATTCTCGACGTAGTCTAGAAAATATCAAGGCAGCTATGTTCGGTCTGATACCAATTTTCCATCAGCAAATAAAGTGACGATCAGTTGGATGCGCTAGCTGGCGTTCAGTAGAGTGAGGCATCTTTTAATCTTTATAAATTTATCGTCTGGGTAATAAAAGAACAGGGGCACACTGCCATTAAATTTCCAGGTAGACATTCTGCTATTCAGGTTTAGGGTGAGTGCGGCTGGTTATCTAAATTGGCTTGCAACTACAGGTTTAATCTGTAAAGCGTGATGTAATTAGCCATAAAACGATTTTCGCTTGCAGTAATAATTAAGAGTCATTAATTCAGTCACGCGGATATTTCTACGAGGCTGATGAATTTCTTGTTACAACATAAAGCTGATTTCTTGCTACATATGTAGTTCTAGTAATTACAACTCGTTTCTTCAATCACCAGCAGAAATAATTGAACGGAATGTGTAGTGTATCGCTATACTTTGACAAGATAAGAACAATTTATGCACGGTTGTTGAGAATGCCATTACACATAAGAGATCAAGAACGCTTTCTCTGCAGCTTCGCTTGTCCGTCATAAATCACTCAAAAGCCGCCGAAAAAAAACAATTTGCGTTCTTGCCAAACACATGAGTAATGCATCACATTTGCAGGAAACTCCTCAGCTGCTTTAAATTCCACCAAGAGAACTGATGTAAGTTGATTTAAATTTTTGAAATCGCTTCTTCCAGTAGCGTTTCTCGTTGGTCTGAATATTAGAGTATTGACTTGTTTTTGAGGCAGTTCCATTGGCAAGCTAATGTAATCCGGATAGGACGATCTTGTATCTTATTCATACTGTTGCTCTGTTTTCTGTTTGATCCTTAAAAATTCCTGAGATAGATTTATCACATTGTAATACTCACTCGCGCATTGGAGTCAAGCAGAAAATTGAGGAGTTACTGAATATATGAATTTAAATCTATCCTTGGCATCCAATGTATCGTATTAACAAAGAATTTTCTATTGGAATACTTTGCTTATTAGTTTAGCTTTGAAATTACGAGAGTCCGCTAGATTAATGTCCGTACATGAAGCATCTTGAGAATGGCACTCATTTAACGAAATGTCCTTTTATAGGAACTCGAAATTTGTACGAAAAGAACTGTTTCGCTGTTTTCTCATGCAGCGGAAAATGGTAAAATTCTAAAAAGCTGGTGGAAATTGATACCCTATAGTTTTGTTATTAGACTTTCAACATAGATTCATTGCTACCCTGTTTACCCAAATTCCGATGAATAATTTTTCTCAAACATAACACACAGTTTGCATTTTACCCACTCAACAGAGCCTCCAACTCATCGAGGAGGCGGCAACATTGGAGGAGCCTGGGCAGCGGTGGGTGGCAGTGGGGTGCTCGTGTGTCGGGTGAAAGCAGCTCCTACACCCACCTTCACATGGGAGCGAGCAAGGCATCCGGAGGCAGACTCGGATAAGATGGAGATCTCTTCTTCCAGTAAAGTGACAATTCATCCACCAAAGGTAAATATGTAATTAAAAAAATATCCATTCATCTATTGCTTTTATAGAAGTTGGAAATCCAGTGAAACTTCTGCCGTTAATTTCATCATAATTTTAGTTTCATTATTAATCTAAATAATTAAAAACACATGTTGTTCAGTATGAACACACAAGTGTACGGTATTCCAGTTTCATTTTCCAGTTTCCGTCCAATTTCATTTCCACATAATTGCTTATGATAAAGACGCAAAGTTAAACCAACGCGTTAACCGGGTTCATTATATGATTGGTTTCCGATATTTCAAAGACAAGACATAAAAATATTGTGCAGTTAAAGCTTATAGCTAACCTCTCCCGAAATGATATGAGAATTGGTATGTATCAGCGTTATATTCACTTTAATTAGAATACAATTGAAATCCAATCCGACGATGTATTGATTAATTGATAGAGAAATAAAGCAGAGACTGAACGATAGCCCGATGCATGGGATTCAAAAACAAATTTTTTTGTCATGATAAACGAGCATTCAAAAGCAACTACGATAATTGGTTTTCCTGTCATAAATGCATCCGACAAATCTACTTAAATCACATCTGTTGAGTTTGATTTTTGATTATATGCTATGATTTTACGGAAAGGGAAATTTCTATACTCTGATTTTCCATTTTCCTATCTTTTTTTCAACTTTTACCTCAAATGCGTGAATTTCATACTTGAGAGATGTTTGTGTTATGCACGCCGGTGTGAAAATGGATTCGTTACTCATTATTCAGTTAATTAAACACACATTGTACGTGGGGTTGATTTTCAAAATTATCTAAAATAACGGCCTCCTGCACACAAGTACCATAATGCTCTGTTACTATTGACGCTTTATAAAAAATGTCTAAGTACCAGCCCTCTGAAAAATATTATTCAAGCCTTCAAATCGAAAAATAGGAAAAATTTAGCGCAAATAAGAAAAATCGGGCTTCTGTAACATGTTATGAAAAATATTTATTCGTAATTGGCATGCAAATAATTCATTATGTTTGTTGCAAAGGAAGTAAATCCATACGAAATTATTTCGTGTCAAATTATTTATGAAAATTTATCAAATAAACAAATTCCTCCACAGGATAACACCCAAAACCATGATTTACGAGTATGTAAAATGTTTTACTTTGCAAAACAGTCACAAAATTTTTATTCTAGGTGTTCTTACATAATTTTATAAACAATTTCTTCAATGAATATGAATGATGACATTTAGGGCCTTTGCAACATCGATTGAGCCTGGCAATAATTATCTCACGCATTTTAGCCAACAATAGGGAGTTAAGTGTGATTAGGTCCAACGTGTAAAGGAGTTCAATTGTTAAAGTAGCACAATTAGCTCCGAACTGCCATTTCATGGCGATGTGAAACTATTTTCTTGTTACGAAAAAGCCAATCTTGTTAATTAGTCAAGATTGGTCTCGATCTGTTGATTGGTGACATGGTCTCGATCTGTTGATTAGTGACAAGGTTGCGACCCGTTGATTAGTGACAAGGTCTCGATCTGTTGGAGAGCCTCTGTTAATCATCGGATCTGGGCTATTACATCTCGAGCAGCATTTCCATAAATTCAACTCTGCATTGCGATAATTTCAGGTATCAGGTAGTCTTAGAATCAGCCTTCTCTCGTTGCAAGCTGCTTGCAGCGAGGGTTCCAATTAGAGGATTTTCGTTGACTGTTGGTTCCTGCAAGATTACAAATCGGTTGAGTTTTGTTGTAAGACGACGTTGCTTCGAGTCAGCTGAGGTTTTGTACGCTGATTTCCAGCTGATGGACGGGCTGGTTGAGTGGTCATCGCGTCTGGAGATCCGAGCGGTGGGAGTGGCGGACTACGGCGGCTACACCTGCCACTCCCGCAACAGCCTCGGCCACTCAGCCGCGGACTACATCCTGCGGCCACCCAAGCCCCCTGCCACTCCCATCAATATCACGGTATGATGAGTGGTCACGGGTGACTGATTAGTGGTCATTAGTTGATATCAAGTGGTCTCGAGTCGATTATGAGTGGTCTCGAGTGGAAGACGAGATCACTTTTATTTTGTGGAATTTTGTTTGCTTATTCTCTTAATTTCCTCAAATTAAAATTACGTTTCCCCTTAATTGGGATAACTCAAAACGAAGTGCAAATATCATCACTTCAAATGTTTAATTTGTCCTCTCAAGGTGGTAAATTTAACGACGAGCAGCATGACGTTAAAATGGACCTCACCGATGATGGATGCGCGTTATCAGAATGATATTAAGACCTCGGGAAAACTCGCACAAAACCGAGCGGGATTAGCGGAGTACGGCAGTAACCTGCATCACGACCAACACCACGAACAAAACCAACGCTATTCATACGATCAAAACAGGGACAGCAAGAGCTGCTCATACAGAAAGAGCGTAAAGATCATTCGTCAAAAACCAGACAGAGCTGGACTGATCCTTACCAGGATTGGACGACCAGTTCAGGAACAAAGCGTTCATTTCTCACGTATATTGTGCGTCACCAGCTCGCCGGCACCAATGAGGTCATGGTAAAGATAGCGTAATCTTAGCCTCCTTCTGTTTTATTTAGGTACCAATGTAATGGTAGGAGACAGGTAATTAAATGCTGGTAGTATACTCCGTAGAGTTTTCCGCTATGGATCCCAAAAAGGCAAAAACATTCATGGCTTTGTCGGACAATACAGTCATCTTACTTTATCCTTTCAGAAAGTAGGTTCCAAATTTTTTTAATAAATGGAGAAAAATGTGCTACCTGTGTCGAAAAAGTTTGCATTCGGTGTGGCCACATCTTCATTGATTTAGATTGAAAACAGTTTTCCCTTTGAGTGTGCGAATTGTTAATTTATTGAATATTTGTTACAAGTTATGTATTGGTTGAATCAACTATCAATTGTAGTCAACATGAAGTATTTTAAAGCACTTTTAATCATTGAGAGCGCGAACTCATTAGAACCTTTGTTGTGCGCGTGGTCAGACGCAGCGCGTGGGAGGGTCGGAGCTGCCCACTGCTACGCTGGACGACCTCGCTCCTGGCAGGTCATACAACGTACGCGTGCTGGCGAGCAGCGATGAGGGGACATCGCAGCCCTCAGCTGCCCTCACAGTTACCCTGCCTGGTGGGGGCGTCGCGGGGATGACGGGTGGCGTGACCATGGCGGGGGGAGGAGGTGCCTGGAGAGCTCCTCGACTCCTACTCCTCATTATGGCTGTCACAGGATCCGCACTTTTGGCTCTCAACTTGGCAATCATTATTTGTTTCGTCAAGAGACGGAACAGGGAGCAGCGGCAAGCAGGTCCGTCACTCAAGCTTCCCTGCTTTCTTACACCTGCGTAACAAATACCAGTTATTTATTTCATAGTAAAATACTTCGAATCAATGGAGTTAATAAATAGATTTTTAATTCGTGAATCGAAATAAAAAATCGAAATGAATCCTTCAGATAATGTGAGATTGATTATGAAGAATTTTTTATGTTAAATGGGTTCACTTTAGCGGACATTTTCTGCAAGATAACGACATTGAAGAGTAAATTTAATGCTTAATGAGTCTTGATTGGTGTCGTTCTATAATAAAATTTTTGAGAAAACACCTGTATTGCCGTCGTGGTCCTAACATTCTTATAATCAAACGCCTATATTTCCGTCTTGATTTAACATCTATGAGCATATGCCTCAATTTCCATAGTAAAATACTAATATTCATAAGCAAACGCCTTGATCTCCGTCGGGAAATTAATCTTCACTATGCAATGCGCTTGAATATCTCGTGAAACTTGACGATCTTATGAACATTTCTGCCTTCATTGCTCATGAAATCGAAATAATTCTTACTGATACAATTTTTTTCTGTTAAGTCAAATATTCACCATAATTTAGTATTTTTCACACAAATATTCGCAGCGGTGTAGAGTTTCTCGTTGAATTTCTCATCAGCATTGTATGTGCCGGGCATATATTTTCAGTTCAATTAAATTTTAAACAGAATTATTCTTCAGCACGCTACACTTTTGATCGCGGCTTGTTTAGGTTACTTCAATGCTGTCGTTTCTCCCCCAGCATCGTTCTTAAAGAGTGCCCCCTCAAGTGTGTACGGAGGGGGCGACTCGGGCTCCCCGCCCCCCGCGGGCACGGTTGGGGCAGCACTCATGGAGGAGGCAGCAGACTCGTGCCCCACCAGCTTACAGGTGGGGCAGTTGTTTGATTGTTATTTATTTTTATTATTGTTTTCCTTTACCTTATTTCATTACTTAATTTTTGCTGACTTAACGAGTGATGACGTCATGCGTAATCGCTCACAGCAGCAAATTCTTCCTGTATTCAACATCATTTGCAAATTTTAATTTTTCTATTGTTTATTTCCACACTCGTTCTTTTCTATTTGTCATTTAACATATTTTTTATTAAAAGACTTTAAATTTGATAATTATTCAACTATTTCTAATAAAGTCATCATTACCATTGGTTATGGAATAATTGTAATAAATAATACTGAATTAAAAAAAAAGTTGTTGCTCATGTTCTTTGTACATAATTGTTTTTTATTGACATTGGCATTATCTATTATTTTTCTCTTAATGTATTCTTAGCCTACGTAATTAATCGTTGCTACACCCTTCATTAAAGATGGCGTGTATATCTTAGTCGTACATTTTACTGTAATCTTCATTGATCACAGTGCAAATTCCGTGTAATTTGAAAAAAAACTTTTAAAGTTTTCTAATGTTTACATTTTTTCTGGAACGCTAACGGTAGAGAACTAAACCAATGAAATAAAAACACGGGCGATGCTCTTGTTAATAATGCTGCACATGATCTCCTATCGCGATTATAGCTTCAGTCTCTATTTTTTAAAATATATTTTTATCTCGAACATATTGTTCGAGATTTTACAAACAGAACGAGATTTTACGAATTTTACGAAGTTCAGTTAAATAAACAGAAGAAAAAAAATTGAAAATTCTCATTAGAATGCGAGTCATTTCTGTAAAATTCTTGTGGTTGCTAAAAAGAACGATGACTTAAATTAGGCATATTTTTTAATGAGTTCGGAATAAAAGCGAGCTAACTAATTATTTGGCCTAAATAAATACATTTCAGGTCAATTATTAAATTAAGAATGTATTTGAGGAGCATTGAGTTTGCATTATTGTGTATGAGTTTTCGATTTTTTTGTGTGTATTGTTAATAATTTCTTTCCTGTTGGCCTGAAAATGAAATACAATTAAAAAGGGTTTGTCGGGGTCTTTTTTCAACGAGAATCCCATTTATTTCTAACATTTCTTTCGGCGAGAAGGTTCACTTATCTTTCTACGAATATTAGATGTATTGTCTATTCATTTATAATTGACAGAATTTAAAAATTCTGTTTCAAGGGCGATGAAGTGGCTGTTTCGTCAATTGCCCTTGGTGGAGGATCAAGGATGATGATGGCTGGTGCTAGTGATGAAGTGCAGCATTACCAGCAGCAGCATCATCACCACCAGCATCAGCAGCAATACGCTGATGCAGATTCAGAATTGGATATTCACGAGAGAGATCAGGTTACGGCATGCGTCTCAGGAGAGTCCTCTGACATCACCAGTAAACCTGACTTGGTGAGACCGTCATCCGATAACTTGTCTGCTCTGGAGCAGGGAAGAGAAATGATCGCTGAAATGAACAGCACTGCACACATGGCGCAGATTATTGGCTTGAATGGACAAGAAATAGTTGTGCATCCCGGCAACGGTCACCAGATGCAGGACTCGAGTTTCACGACGCTTCAGAAGCAGGGCTACGCAAATCCCCAAGTTGATCAGCAAATGCAGTTCCAGCACTTGCAGCACCTCAAGATTAACGGAGCTCAATATCAGCCTGCAGTTAAAAGGGACTACGGAGCCTCGTACTCGAGTCTGAGTCCAGCAAATCTCTGTGAACTTGGAACAGAATATTACGCAACAACCTCTACAGCGCCCTCTGGTGAGTAAATCTAATATAAAATGAATTCAGTCTCGGTTGCCTCGAATCTCTTCCTAAATGTGTTTCAACATGATTCTCTTATCGCTATTTGATCAATTATCTTCCAGGCGTTTGTTTCAATGTATTTGGCCAATTTTTAGCCCCTGAGGAACAACAATGTTTAGATTCAGTTTCGTCAGTTTTCATCCAAACGAAGCAATAAATTGCATCCCTCTGTGATTGCCCAGGTGTGGCAATTTTTCTTGTTACTGAAATAGTTTCACTAATTATATCACTCTAAACTAACCTTGATAATAGCAACAATATTATTCTTCCCCCCTTAAGGAGGAACCTACGCCACTCTGGCTCCTCGCAACCGCAGCAGACAACAGCCCGCAGGCGGCTCTCACAGCTACACGCTTCACAGGCCCCCTCCTCTGCCCAAAGCTCCTCCCACCGCTCCTGGCTCCTCTCCTGCCCAAAGACCTGACATTACAAGAGATTTAGTGTCCCGCGATAAGTCTTGCGAATCTCGACCTGAGCAGCAGCAGCTCCAATTGCAAGGCCAAATTGTGGAAAATTTCAACCCCAATCTAGCAGCCGTGGAAAGTCTGAACGATGGAGGAAACAAACCTGATTTGACTAATCATATTATGCAGGGCAATCTTCCTAGAGGGAATGTAGAAAAGGATGAACAGCTTATATTGCTGAGGGATTTTAAGAGCACGAGTGTCTATAATGGTATACCAGATGCAATAATTCGTCAGAACATGAACAACAACCGATCGCCTTCACACCCCATCAATGTGGAAGTACCGGATTCCCGTACAGAAACCGCTGAAGATTACAATCCAAAAACAGGAAGAAGAAGCTCAAGGCGGGGGAGATCTAGTTCGGAACGGACTGCTGTGTCCCAGCTTTTTCACGACGATAAAGATGGTCAGAGCCGCCAACGTCAACCTCCTTCATCTGATCGGAGCGTCGGATCCCCGGACGGATCAGGGTCCAGGAGCAGCAGCAGCAGCTTGTCTGGCAGGAACAAAAGTCCGAAACGCTCAAAGCGACCAAGCGCAAGCGCCGGCATTTCTGAGTATCTAAATACAGACACAATTAGACGCAGCGGCCCGCTTACAGCCTCGCAGCAAGTCGTATTCTCTTCGTCCTACTCACCGCCAACAATTTACTACACCACCCGACCAGCGCGAAATGTTACCCCAGAAAAGTATAAAAGAAAAAAATCGCTTGGCAGTTATCCTAACGAGGATCTACGGTCGAGAAGAAACAGTAAAAGCAGATCCAGGGAAGAGCTCGAGAGAAACTCTACACAAAAACCTAGCGCCAAGTTTAGCTTAGAGAACATGAACTCTGTAGATCAATTGTAAATAGAATTTTGAGCTTAGAACGTGTGATTTTATTCGTTAGATTGCTGGCAGTAATCTTGCTACAAAAACGTGTCAGAATAAAATTTTTGTCAAAATAAAAGCATAATTTGTAATTCATTCATGCCATTTCTCGTTGATTATTGACTTTTTAGTGTGGGCGAGAAAAGGCACGTTGGATTGTAAATATTATAAAATATGTACAAGCTTATACATGGCTTTTAGGTATTACTATATGTTAATTAAATACAAAATAGGTACTTTGATTCGAGTTATTCTCGAATTGAAAAGAATTACGGTGAATTTGTGGCAGGAGCTGCATTGCTGACGGCAAATGAAGGCGGTGTGTGGGGCATGACAGGTTGGAGTTGTCTAGTGTCAATTTAGCACCTATGAAATCATTTGCTCATACCCTTTCACACTTATGCTTCTTAGAGGCGTTGCTACATTGCGGTAGCTATACTTCCGTGCAAACTTTTCTCTGTGTAAAAGGAATGTAAATATTTGTGAAAAGACTGGGAAATATTTCTTAAGATTTTGTAAAGATTTTTAGGGAGTTATTTTCGGGTGCCGCGGCCTTCATCACGAAGGACTTACGTCTGTGTGGGCAAAGAACCTCCAGGGAGTGGCGACTGGAAGCTCAAATCTCTTCTTATTTTATCCTTGTAGTTCATGCGCATTATGTACTCTCGCTTTTTTACATTTGTATTTTTCTTCCGTCTTAGATTTCCTGTCAAGATTCAGGCAGAATATGTGCTACTGGTTTGTGGTCTTAGGTAGAACCTATTTTGGGACATATCGTAATGTTATTAGATTATTTATTTGCACGGAAAATCATCTGACATGTCTGATTTTACGAAAATTATAGACGAAGCTGGAAAATTAAAAAAACAAACAAACGAGTTTATCGCATTATAATTATTTATCAGGTGTTTTTGTCTGGTATCTGTTTTTTCAAAATATCCTAAGTAATTACGATCCGATTTGAGGTGCTTCAGCGAAACATAAACAAACGTGATGAAGTTAGTTGCAATCTCGTCATTTCAGCAACTTAGAATTATAATGAAAATCCCTCAGAGGATCGTGACACCCTTCTACTGACACGCCTCTTCTAGTTGTTGAAGTTCATTTTTTATATGTCTAACTGGTCTCTCAAAAATGAGATGGACTAGGAACTAAGATTATAGTTTTTATTATTTACAATGTGTCAATATCGCTTGTATCGAATATTAATGCAAGTTGAGAAGGCATGGACGTTTTAGTATACGTTAAATGCTTGGCAATGTGACAATCTTAGATGACCCCGCTACCAGTGCTGCGTGTGGCATTACTGTCTTTGGGAAATCTGCTTGATTTTAGTACAGGCATTCCATTTTAGATAATGTAAAGTGATGAACCGTCATCGTATGCGAATAAACTTAATATAAACATATTTAATTCTTCTGAAAATTCCAACTTGCATGATTCAATGAGGAAAAAATATATTTGTTGAAGAGCCTTGTGCGACGATCATGAGTGAAGGGAAAGTACCCGAATTACAATTTGAAATTGAATATTTTGCGCACGTTGTCTTGTTACAATTTCAATCAAAGAGTATCCAATTTATGTCAGAATGTCCTGGATGAATAATCAGAGTAATAGTTAATTTAAGCAGTTAAAATATTATACGAGCTTCAATGAGATTATGTTGGTAATGATGATAATTTATGTTCAATGTTTAAAGCTAGGTAATAAAATAGACGGTTGTACTTTAATTCAATTAACTTGTAAGCATTTTATCGCTGAGATGTTGTTGGATAAAAAAATGAAAAATTTTACCGCATGCCCGTCTCAGGGTATCCGTGAAACTTCTCTAAGTGTTTTACATTGAATAATACCCCATTTATTTTACAAACTCTATTAAGAGAATTGGAGTAAAATAAGTGTTTGATTTCCCCTGCGATTTTCACATAGGAACAAAACGAATTATTATTCCTGGATACAACACACAAATTTTTCACTATGAGCAGCTTCAACTGAGACAACAAGTCGTAATACCTTAAATTTATAACTTTGAATCCTTCGTCATTCGGAAGGCACTATAATAGTGTAATACAGTACGGTGGCCCGATGTTTTTTACTACAATAGGGACATGATAAAAATTTTATTATTATTACAATGAAATCATTTAAACGAAACAAATTTTGTGATGAAAAATTGAACTTCTTATCGACAAGGAAATAGATGTCCTTTGGCCCAGTGACTTACGACGCTGTTCTAACCTTCGTAACGACGACGGCACATTAGATCCCCCGATGCTGCTCGAACCTTCGACGGCATTTACGATTTTCTGTTTATGGAAGTATCTGAAATTTGTTTAAGAGTAAATTGGAACAAAAATAACGTCATTTATACAGATAAATGCTAATGATTAAAGAAAAGGTGCGTTACTCTACAGTCAGCAGCCGAGCACCCGTGCTGCAGCACAGAGTCGCTTACCCTGACGAAGACGTAATTACCCCAAGTTTCTGGGGAACATTTCCTCGTGGCTAGATGCTGATGAGTGGTTAGCGATAAATCAACCTTATCTTCAGATTCAGGCAAGTGGCTCAAGTCATGGTGTTGCAATGGCCTCATTTGCGGTAAGAACCTGCAGGTTCTTACCGCCTCAGTTCCCTCACTGAATCAACGTAGTTTAAAGCCTTCTGATCCCTCCAGGGCTGAGCTCCCGACAAATGTGACTGACAAGTTTAATTTTGAAGCGAAACTATTTTTTCATGCTCAGTTCAGGTCGATTTTTTTCGCTCTACAAGGAGCTTTTCACGATTAATCTGGTACATGCTGTGATGGAGTGGGATAAAATTGAATGCCAGAAAAAGAAGAGACCACCTGAAAGTTATGATGCATTGCTATTAATTAGGAAAAATATTTCAACGTTTTTAATGGTAAGCAGCTAAATTGGCCACAAATAATTTATTTAATAGACAATTTTTTCCATGGGAATGGTACTAAGTACAATTTAAGTTTGTAATTTACTATACAATATTCGTGCTCGGCCTTTGTAATGCCAATAATTAGCCGTTCACGGCTAAGTTCTAGCGGAGGTGAGACGCGAAGTCTCGGCTACGGGAACTCGAACCGTCTCCTGATATTCCATCGCGCCGAACAACCGCGAGTCGCCGCGGGCAGAGAAAGGCAGGCACTGCCACGCGCTGCTTGACAAGTCCGCGTGTTTCTAACGCTGGCTTTCATTATCAGAGGCCAAGCGTTGCTGGAAGAAAATTGTACACTAATTGTTAAACACGGGCGCACTAATGCTAATTTCGTAGGTGACTTCTCGAGCAGGTTTCTCTGGGGTTCATGAAAAGATATAAGGTGGAAGGTTCGATAGGTGCACTTCTGAAATAAAACTTTTAATATGGGTTAGTTTGATCATGACAAATGAATGACAACACAAAAAAACCATATTACGATATTTTGCTAATAGTGCACAAGTATTAATGGGAAAGTAGGGTCAATAAAAAGTAAATAGATCGCCAAAAAATTCTCTAAATTAAATTCCTGGAATGCGACTTTCATATTCGCCATGCTCACAACGACTGACCTAATAATATCAAAAATTCATTTCGATTCTTGATAGAAGAAACTTCTTGGCTTATGCCAGTGCTATTTCTGCCTGAGTTGTGAAATACCAGATTATTAAAAGGTAGACATTGATATATAGCGTGATATAATTTGTTTATACGATAGTACGTAATGAAAAATGTGAGCAACATACAGAAAAATTAGTTGCAGATATACGAGATAGAAATTCATTTTTAATGTCAAACATTATTGAAAAAGTTCAAGTGAATTTACAGAAAAGTACGTAAATTTGCCGCATTACGTTAATAATGGCGAACAACACGGAAGAACAAAAACATTGAACGGTGTCCGACTGTCCGAAATCAGTGATTTAATTAATTCACCGCAGATTTCATCCTCTGGTTGAGATGGTGACGATTATAGAAGTAGAAAGAAATCTAATTCTTCTCTTACTCATACGTGAACCTTAAAAAAACGAAATTTTCAACAAATAGAAGCTACAGATAAGTTCTATTTGTTAAATATGTCATAACCCCTCAAATTGCGGTTGATAAATGCTGGACCTGGATTAATTGGAACGGTAAGATCAGGGTTCAAATAAAACATAGCTCATTAGTATCCAGAATAATTTTGGAATTATTTGAATAACAAGAGAATCCATTGAAATAAAATTATTATTTGGCATTTGAAATTCTCAGCGTGTTCCCCTGTTTACTTTTTGTGGATTAAATGGTAAAAATATTCGGGTCATGCATAAGCAAATATTTTTCGAAATAATTGTCATCAAATGCAATGAATCTTGTTACATAATTACTAACTACCGTGTAAATAATTAATTATGACTGTATGTACAATTATAAAAGTTTGTTTAAATAAATACCAAGCATCGCGTTAATTAAATTTTAACTTGAGCCAAAGTTCTGCACGGAATTGAATATATATAATGACCTAATTCTTTTATGATCTTCTTTTTTACTGAAATGCACCTGAGATCCTTGAGCTTAATTCTTTCATGATGTTGACGTGAATACAATGAGGCATGGTATAATGACGTGAACTATGAGGCATGGTATAATGTTTATGGAATAATGACGTGAACTGTGAGGCATGGTATAATGTTTATGGAATAATGACGTGAACTGTGAGGCACGATATAGTGACGTGAACTGTGAGGCACGATATAGTGACGTGAACTGTGAGGCATGGTATAATGTTTATGGAATAATGACGGGAACTGTGAGGCATGGTATAATGACGTGAACTGTGAGGCATGGTATAATGTATATGGAATAATGATGTGAACTGTGAGGCATGGTATAATGTTTATGGAATAATGAAGTGAACTGTGAGGCATGGTATAATGTTTATGGAATAATGACGTGAACTGTGAGGCATGGTATAATGCATATGGGATAGTGACGTGGACACTGAGGCATGGTACAATGCATATGGGATTGTAACGTCTACTGTGAGGCATGGTATAATGTATATGGTATAATGACGTGAACTGCGAGGCGGGGTATAAAGAATATGGTATAATGACGTGGTCTGTGAGAGGTGCTCGCACTTTAACAATAAATGAGCTTAGGGCGTGAGGAGGCAGTAGGTGCTAGTGAGTAACGCCGGTGCTTCTTTAAAACAAACAAGCCTCCGTGTCAGCTTTGCTCCTAAGTTGACGTCAGTTGACCAGAAGCAATTAATCATGAAGGCGTACAAAATTGATACAAATGATCTCTGCACGCTTCTTTAAGTTAAATGTTTATGAGTTGGTCGGGAGATATGACCAAGCTTCGTTGATCAACTTAAAAGGCCCCGATTTTGCATCAGATGAATTTGCCGCACTGCTAGAATAATAAACTGTAGGTAAGATTTTTTCCAAATCCAAAATATATCATTATAGGCTCTCGCTGTAACCATTAATTTTCCTATCACGACGCTGCAAATTCAGAAATTTAAGAAACACTGCAGGCGCAACACAAGTATAAGAAACACTGCAGGTGAAATACAAGTAAAAGAAACGCTGCAGGTGCAACACGAGTATAAGAAACGCTGCAGGTGCAACACCAGTATAAGAAACGCTGCAGGCGCAACACGAGTATAAGAAACACTGCAGGCGCAACACGAGTATAAGAAACACTGCAGGCGCAACACGAGTATAAGGAACACTGCAGGCGCAACACAAGTATAAGAAACACTGCAGGCCAAGTCAGCTGCCAAGTCGTTATCAAAGTCAGCAGCAGTAACAGCAATGCTATAAGCTGCACGACAACCCGGTGGTTTTCTTACCAGGCGGTAAAACCATGCAACTATAAACATGCAAGAAGGTAACCATGCAATCAGGTAAGTAAATTAAAATCAAAGCATTCAACAGCATTATAATGGTGGTACTATACAGAAGTAGCAACACAATAGTTAAGCCACAAGTAATAACAATAGCGGCAGCAGGTGATTGCTCGGAGACCGTGTGTCATCACGCGTTCTTAAGGTTAATTACCGACGGAAATGAGCTGACATCGAGCACGAGGAGCGAGCTTCTATGAGCTCAATGGCCTTCTGTCGCTCCTCACAATAGACTTAATTATGACGGGCCATGAAGGTATAACTGAAGCACTGCGTCCTAGGCACACTTGCCAACGATCATAAGACGGCGGTGAAGGCTTCACGAAAATTCTGCACTGTCTCAGTGCCGAGCTCCACGCTTAGGCACACATTCAATGAAATTAAGCGAAGAATAATACACGAGACTGTGAGTAATGAATTTAGACGTAATGATCTTCATAAGATGTTGTAGTTAAAATAACCTATTAAACATTAATAAAAGTTTGTTAATTTAGAGACTGGTACTGTATACCAGCAGCCGGGCGTGCATCCAAGATACTTACATGTATCTTCTTGGACAATTAACGGATTATGAAATTTCATCTTTGGTTGAGGAGTCATGGAGTATTAAAAAAATAAACGGGCGGGGAATAAATAAAGAGGTAAATTTTGCAGTGCTGTTTGTAAATTTTACTGTAGAAGAGCGTCACAGTCTCTTATTCTTTTTCTATTCGGTACTCAAGGGGAGCGTCTAGCCTAAAATTTTGGATTTTGGCTTTTCCGGTTTTTAGTCTCATCTTAGGGTACGCATAGAGTGGAAGCAGGTTTGCCCGCGCGGGCAACCTGCTCCAACCTGCCACAAGAATGATCATAGGATAATAATGTAAGTGTTCACAGTGAAAACCTGTACGAATAGGCTTCTGTATTTCTATGGTTTCAGGCGCCAGCCTGAGCAGGTAACCAGCAAACTGGCAACCTGTTTTCACTGTGTGCGTACCCTTAAAGCTGACATTCTGCCCTGTCC